GGACTATTAAATTAAACTGAAAAAAAAATAAGAAAAGAAAATTAGGAAAAAAAAAAAAAAAAAAAAAAAAAAAAAAAATAAAAAAAAAAAAAAAAAAAAAAAAAAAAAAAAGCTATCGATACACAACAAAAGTTCATCAGTGCAATAGAATCATATGGGTAGACACTATATACTCCGTTTTCTCCATTCAGTACTTGAGAAAAGCCTTTTGAACTTGCTGGGAAGAAGAGCCTGCGTCACGGACTTTTTCAATACAATCAATTCAGAACAATCACCCAGGTATCAAAGAGGCAGATGAAAATAAAAAACCAAGAGAGGAAAGTGCTTCCACACACATTCACATAGGAAAGGCTGGAATCACAACAGACCATTAATTATTCGGCACATTGGGATCCCGCCACAGTCTTTCGGTCCCCAGTACTCCGCCCTCGGGGCTGATTGATGATGGCGGAAACACGGGATGTCGAGAGGGAGCAGTTGCAGCAGCGTTTGATATTGCGGGTACATGCGATGTGGCGAGAGGACTAGAAAGCGAGGGCTGAGACATCCCCGCAGACTGTGGAGTCGGTTGCCAAAATTGATTAGAAGTGTCAAGTGTGGGATTTTGAATGTAAGTATCCCAGGCATCCTGGAAAATGTTAGCATATCCCACTCGCTACGAGTATAAACAGAATTTAGGGTCTCACCCAGTCAAGATTGACCTGCATATCAGGCATTTGGCCAAACATGCTGCTGAATGGCGAAAGTGTACCCGGCATTTCAGCTGCGCCAGGACCAGTTCCCATGGGCGAATCGCTCATTTTGAACATTGGATCTGCGAACGGAGTCGGGCCTGGGTTCATGGGGCTCATGCCACTACTCAATAGACCAAGAGTCATAGCGGCATTCTGCTTCTCGTCTGCGGGCTCGAAGGGCGCACCAGAGGGGTTCTCAATACCCGGCGTCGGCATGAGAAGCTTCCTCAACATGACCCCCAGCACGCTGGATGCTTTCCAGGCTTCCATGCTGACATCCCGTGTCTCATCCCAAATCTCTTTGGTCAATTGAATAGCGGTCATCATCTCCTCGCGCCTTTCCCGACCCCAAGTGTAGACATCTCCGGATGGACGACCGGAGTTTTGCATTTGGAGACTGTGGGATAGATCGAGGCATACTACTGTGGCTGCGAGAAGATAATCGGTGGAGCTGAGGGATGTTACTTTTGATTTGCGGCTGCGGAGACGACCACTCCGCGATTCCGCGTGTAGGAGCGCTTGAACCCGGAGGAGTTCCATTGCGGAATCGATGCATGTCCTTCGGGAGAAGGTAAAACGGGGGTTTTCGCGGGCACGGACTAGATATGGGCGATGGAGGACGCATTGCGCTTTGTCATATACGGCCATTACCTGTAGCTATTAATATTTGGGAAGGCGGAATAGTCCGGGGCATACTTACGGAGAACCGTGACATGATGAGACTTACGGAGTCCAACTGACACTCATCCATCGGTCTGATTTTCAGATGGTCGGGGATCAAGTCTCTAGCCTGGCGAAGTTCTGCGTCGATTTCCATCACTTTTTCATACGGAGCACTCGAGACAGCAGAGCTTTGCTCTACCACACGGCCAAATGCATATGTCAAACGCGCCTTGGCGATGAGATATGCGATAGGTGTAGGCTCAGACAACTGACGAGGTGGAGGGAGTTCTTTGCAGTCTTCATCAAAGTCATCATCATAAAGATTGCGAGGTAGCTCAGTGTCACTATCAGAGCAGCGGATCATACTCGGCAGCCCGACTTGGAATGAAAATAGTAGATCGGCATGCCGAACCAAAGTCCATACCCGCCGTCGCATCTCCCCTTGGAAGGGTGTAATGTTTGGGAACATCTTGGAGTCACGGTGATATCCTGATCGCATGGCGAGACGAACAATGACGCCAGTCATGACCCAGACGGAGACATCCGCATCTCGATTCTGGGACAGATCACCATGTAGGTGAAACACAAGCGCTTCGATCAAGAAAGGATGTGATTTTGTGTAGTCGGCCAAAGTTAAGCACTCTGCTACCGAGTTCCGAAATGCCCCAGCCATGTCCAAGGATTTACCGCGGAACTCGGGCGGTTCGTCGCCTTCTTGATGATAGGATAGCATCGCCAGTCTCATCAGTCCGAAGAGCATGGCAATCCAAACGAGTTCTGTTTGGGCAGGGTCTTCCCAGTGTTTGTTGTACTAGAGAGGTCAGATCGAGGCTGCGGTAATTTTCACACAGAGACTTACCTGTGCTTGGAACGTTGGCCCGTGGAGAATATCTAATGATAGGTCAGAATAGTGACAGCACGCAGGGACAACCTGTGTTACTCACGAGTAACCGGGTCGTAAGAATTGAAGTAGCGGGCCACCAGAAGATCAGTGGTATATTTGTTTGGCAGACTTGTCATGATCTCGGCTCGGCTCATCGGCTTCATGACGCCAAACAGCAAAGTAGACCCCGGATTATCTGATGCAGGCTGGGCCGCTTTGACCTTTTCCATCTGCTCATCAAGTTGTTTCTTGTGTGTTGTGAAGAAATTCTTAACCTCGGAAATCTGCTCAAGTTAGCAGGGAACCCGAGTTCCAGCGGCCTTTGAACTCACATCATTCAGAACCGAAGCCCAGTGGGCGTCGCTAATGTAATAGGACTTATTGTTGTCCACCTTCATGATACCAAATGACTTAGTCACCTGGTCGGTATCACTCTCCTCGGCTCCTTCCATTTCATCCTCGTCAATATCGAGTTCGTGCGAGAGGCGGGTCGAGCCAGCGCTGCTCTCTCCGGAAAGGGCGGCCATGGCAGCTGCTGGCCCCGAAGACTGAGATCCATTGGTCATCAATGAAAGCACCAATCCTTCCAATCGGTCGATGCGATTCTGCATATCATCCGGTGAATTTGACGAGGATTTCTGAGGCAGATTCCTTTTCCGTGAGCTCGCCTGTGCATAGTTACACGAGGCGGCGTCGCCTCGTTTGACGCAATTTTCACATGGATTGGATCGATTACATTTCAACCTAACGCCCATTAGACTTAATTTATTCGAATTCGATCTTGGGTACCTACTTTCTGTGTCTGCATGGCCCGCAGGACAAAGGAACACGATTGCGTTTCCGGACGACTCTGTAATCGGGAGAATGACCAGCACTCGACGAGTTTGTGGATGGAGGTGTCGGGGTCGGTTTGGTAGGAAATGGCATGATCGCGGGTGATGGGTGACGGCTCCGAGATTTTTGACAATCTTCAATCTTTACAAGAGACAGGTATCAGTCGAACAAAAGTGTCGACTGTTTGATCAAGAGGCGGGGCAGTGGGAAAAGTGGCAGCAGACCGCGCAGCGCTTTCGTCGAGGCTAAGGCGTACTTAGTTGTGCCACAGGTTTTGCTCCAAAATTTGGATTATCTTTTTCTAGTTAGATGCAGCTTAGCTCTTTGCGCAAAGCCCCGAAGAAGATCTGAGTTTTCGCGGGTCTACGCACGGCGAGTGGGTGAAATTCTGTGCGACCTCGAGATTGATCGTGGCGTCAGACACCGGTGCTAGATCCGGGCCTAGGCTTGATCAAGGCTAGTTTCGAGCGGGCAAGATGTCCAATCCCGATTGTATGGGAGTCTCCGAATGTATGCAGAGCGAATGCGACGCGGGCTGTTGAAGCTTGTGCAGGTTAAGGAGGGGTCCGAGGTAAGCGGGAGGATTTGTGACTTGGGGCCGAAACTGACTCGTCGCAAGTCAAGATTGTTTGATGAGTCTGAAGTCTTGCGATGACTCCCACGCTTCAAAGCACAGATGCTCAGGAGGAGAAAGAGCATCTGGAGTCGAAAGCGATGATTAATCCGCTTATCTCCGCTTATCGCCAGATGATCTCACGGTTCTCACCTGGGCACACATGAACGCACAGCCTCTGCGTCCTACATATGTTCGCAGTATGTGTTCTCTCCTATTCTCAAAGTACAAACCTTGATATCGCATCTTCCTACTGTAAAACATCGATCGTAGAATACCCTCGGTCCCGTGCATTACTTTGGGACTCGGTACAACTGGGTATGCGGTTTGACGACATGCAGTACTTGGTGCTTCCTGCAAAGAGACTGGGCATAAGGTGGACTATAGTTAAACAGCAGATACTTGGCGATATCGGGGATCTTCTCCTCGTAGCCAGTCGATGGCTATAGAGAACATGCTGTGGTTAATTTGTGGCCATTGTTACAATATTGTCATAGTTCGGATGGTACAAAGTCACAGACGGTGTATTCCAGGGCCCATCAACATATGAACAGGCCTATTGCTTTTTCTTGTTATTTAACTACCTATGGAGGTACCTAGCTATGCACTTAAGTATGTACCCAAATTGCTTTGGCAATTGGAAGGTCTTAGGCCAATGCTCTTTGACATGCGCGCTGGTCTGGCATGTCTAGGTATTCATCGCCCTAAGGCACAAAAGACTAGGCGTTGTCTGGATTATCTCCTTTGCCGTGGGGGCCAAAAAGACTTCAAGAATTCCCCTCGAGGCTACATAGTCATTTTGGTGCGGTCTTTAACCTGCAATCACAATGTCTTCTTCCAGCAATATTCCCATCCTCCATTATGTCGAACATAATCCAGGCCACCCCACCATTCTGCTTATTCACGGTGCCTTTGTTTCTGGCCTTTACTGGGATCTAGTCATCCCATATCTCAGCTCGTATCATTTGATAATTCCAGATCTTCCAGGGCATGGCAAATCCCAAGCCATCACGCCGTTTTCAGTTGATCTTTCGGCCGATCTCATCGCCGATCTGATCCGCACCCAAGCCAACGGCCCAGTTCATATCATCGGCCACAGTCTTGGGTCACATATCGCCATCCGTGTAGCCTCCAAAGAACCCGAGCTGGTCAATTCCATGTTCATCTCTGGCTTCGAGGTATTTCCCAAAACTGCGCTCACACCCTACATACCATACGTAGCGTGGGCCATGCCTCGAGTGGAAAATTGTCTCCCACGTCCCCTGATACGCTGGGCTATGGATGGCGCGGATTTACCACGCACGGATACCGGTACTTGCACCCTCGATCTATGTCGGCAGATCGTCTCGTCGGGGACTCCAACTGAGTGGCCATCACCATGGCCAGCACGAACTCTCATTGTTGCAGCTGGCAAAGGAGGCATTATTCCTACCAGCGATCACCCGCACGATGCATTAAAGCTCATGAATATTGGGAGAGAGCTGAATGAAGAGACTGTTGCATACACACATATGAGTATGCGACATCCCTGGAATCGTCAAGCTCCCCAGGTTTTTGCGGAAACCGCTGGGGCATGGTTTGAGCACAAAGAGTTGCCTGAAGGGTTTACGAAGCTATAGAAGATCTCAATGTATTGTGGCAATACAAAAGTGAATGTAATATGTGCCAATTCCCCTCCAACGAAGTACGATTTATGTAGAGGAAGATCTACCTGGGCAGTCGTGATGGGCCCCGTGGCCCCGGGGTGGAGCCTTGCTGACTCATCACCCCCGTATGCTCACACCGCCAAGGATGTTCTGCCGCTTCCGCGGAATTTTTTTTATCTTTTTTTCTTAGGAACCAGACCGCAATCTGCAACTGAGCACGATTCGGTTTTGCCTAAACAAAGATGGCGCCAATTAAGCGCAAGGGGAATGCCCCCGAAGAATCCAATGGAAAACGTGCCAAGGTCGGCGCAGAGGAGGGCAAGAAAGACTACAAGAAGTCTAACGATGCCACATCCACCGCCGCCAAAGCGTCAGAGCTTTCAGTGCTGCGTGACGACGAACCTTCATTCCCTCGTGGTGGTGCCAGCATATTGACACCATTGGAACGCAAGCAAATTCAGATCCAGGCCAATCGAGATGTTCTGTTCGAACAGAAGGGGACCCAAAAGCCCCCTCAGAAGAAGACTTCTGATGAGTTCGACGATGATAGCGACAACGACGTTGAGATGGAGGACGAGCAGACTGCTGCGCCCGCCAAGAAGTCGCGCAAGAAGAAGACAAAGGGCAAGAAGTCGGCAGACAAGGAGTCTGGTGATAAGCAAGATGTTCGCATCGAAGGTCTTAGCTTCAAGGTACGTGCTCGTGAACCTCACAAAATGCACTCACTCTAACAATCGCAGCGCATTGTCCCCGGTGCCATGATTCTCGGTCAAGTTTCCAGCATTAACGCCCACGATTTATGTCTTTCGCTGCCCAACAACCTTGTCGGATATGTTCCCCTCACCTCCATCTCGAAGGGACTCGAAGACAAGATTGAGAAAATGTTGAACGACGACGCTGAAGATGATGAAGACAGCTCGGATGAGGAGTCTTTCGATCTTAAGGAGCACTTCTATATTGGTCAATATCTGCGAGCATTCGTGGTGTCCACCGGCAACAACCCTGAGGACCCCAAGGCAAAGAGCAAGAAGCACATTGAGCTTTCAATCGATCCTAGACAAACAAACACCGGATTCTCAAAGTCCGGTCTTCTCGCGAACTCGGCCGTCCAGGCGTCCGTTGTGAGTGTAGAGGATCATGGTGTGGTCATGGACCTCGGAATTGAGGGCGCAGACCTGAAGGGATTCATGTCTTCCAAGGAGATTGATCCTCGTGTTGAGTACTCCAATATTAAGGAAGGATCTGTTTTCCTCTGTATGGTCACTGGCCAAAACACCAGCGGCAATGTCATTAAGCTGTCTTCTAACTACCAGGCATCCGCCTCAATCAAGAAGTCCAACTACCTCAGCTCAGCCCCCACAATCAACACCTTCCTGCCCGGTACCGCTGCAGAGATTCTCCTTACCGAAGTCACATCGAACGGCATGATTGGAAAGATCATGGGTATGCTTGGTGCAACCGTTGATCTGGTGCAGTCCAGCATCAACGGTAAGGTCGACTTGGAAAGAAAGTACAAAATTGGCGCAAAGATCAAGGGTCGTATCATCTCGACTTTCCCGGCTGCTGAACCTTTCAAGGTCAGCTTTTCTTTGCTCGATCATGTGCTCAAGCTTTCGACCGATTCTAGGGGGCCTGGCTCCTCGGATGACTCGCCTGCAATTTCTGCCATCATTCCCGAGGCCACAGTCGTGAAGGTCGATCACGGTCTGGGTTTGTATGCTCGTATTGGAGAGACCAAACACATGGGTTTCGTTCACATGTCAAGACTGTCAGACGGCAAGGTCGACACCATTGAGGAAACCGCAGGGCCTTTCAAGTTGGAAGCTGTGCACGAGGCACGAGTCATTGGATACAACTCGATGGATAACCTCTACATTCTTTCGTTCGAGAAGAGTGTTATTGAACAGCCATTCCTTCGTGTTGAGGATGTGAACGTTGGTGCTATCGTAAAAGGAAAGGTGGAGAAGCTTCTCATCGGTGCCAATGGCATGGATGGATTAATCATCAACCTCGCCGATGGAATTACCGGTCTTGTTCCATCTATGCACTTTGCAGACACTCAGCTTCAATTCCCTGAGAAGAAATTCCGCGTGGGTCAGAAGCTTTCCCTCCGAATCCTGTCTGTGAACCTGGAAAAGCGCCAGATTCGCTTGACGCTCAAGAAGAGCTTGCTTAACAACGAGTCTGCAATCTGGAAGGACTACGCGGACATCACGCCTTCGTCTCAGTCCCCCGGTACCATTGTCAATCTCCAGAACCATGGAGCGGTTGTTCAATTCTACGGCGATGTCCGTGGTTTCCTTCCTGTTTCCGAAATGAGTGAAGCCTACATTCAGGATCCAACCCAACACTTCAGACTTGGCCAGGTCGTCAATGTCCATGCCTTGAGTGTGGATGCATCTCTCGGCAGGCTGGCTGTTTCTTGCAAGGATCCCTCGACGTTCACCGAGAAATACCGCGAGGCCTTCGAAAACCTTCACCCGGGTCATCTGGTTTCCGGAACCGTCTTCGAGAAGTCCAACGACGACGTACTCCTCAAGCTCGAAGAGTCAGGTCTCGTGGCTCGTCTCGACTCCCAGCACATCGTTGACGGTTCTTCCACTAAGCAAAACTCCATGATGTCCAAGATCCGTGTCGGACAGAAGTTGAACGACCTTTTGGTTCTAGACATTCAGCGTGCTCACCGTCTCATCAAGGTTTCTAGCAGAGCTAGCTTGAAGAAGGCTGCCGTGCAGAAGAACATGCCTGGTCAGTTCGAAGAGGTGCAAGAAGGCTCCACCGTCACTGGTTTCGTCCGCAATATCACCCCCGATGGCATCTTCGTCGAGTTCCTTGGTGGTTTGACCGGTCTTCTCCCCAAGCGTCTGATTAAAGACGCCAACCTCGAGCAGCCCCATTATGGCATGTTGAAGTCACAGACCATTGTTGTCAATGTTCAGTCTGTCGACCTGGACTTCAAGCGCTTTGTGCTGAGCATGAAGCCCGTTCAGGCCACTCAGGCCGCTCCCAAGAAGTCCGCCAAGCAGACCGATGACGCTGTTGCGAACGCCATTGACAGTAACATCAAGAGCATGTCCGACTTCTCCTTCGGTAGGGTTGTTGAGTGCAAGGTCGTCTCTGTGAAGACAACCCAAGTCAACGTCCAACTTGCAGACAACATCCAGGGTCGCATTGATGTGTCCGAAATCTTTGACGACTGGAAGGAAATCAAAGATCGCAAGCAGCCCTTGCGATTCTTCAAGTCCAAGCAAACTCTGACCGCCAGAATTCTTGGTGTTCACGATGCTCGCAACCACAAGTTCCTCCCTATCAGTCACCGCACTGGAAAGTACCCCGTGTTCGAGCTCTCTCTGAAGCCTAGCTACCTGAAGGCCGCCAACCCTGCCCCCTTGAACATTGAGCAGGTTCAGGTTGGAACTTCCTGGATGGGCTTTGTCAACAACATTGCCGATGACTGCCTCTGGGTCAACCTTTCCCCCAACGTGCGCGGACGACTCCGTTTCATGGATGCATCCGATGACCTGTCTCAACTTACTGACGTGGAGAAGAACTTCCCCGTTGGCTCTGCTTTGAAGGTTCAAGTCACCGCTGTCAACACCGAAAAGGGTCATCTTGACCTTTCTGCCAAACAAGGCTACGACAAGCTTGCTTTCGGTGATATTTCCGTCGGCATGACCCTGCCCGGTCGTGTTACCAAGGTCACCGAGAAGCAAGTCATCATGCAGCTTGGCGAGGCACTTGTCGGCGCGGTCAACCTGGTTGACCTCGCGGACGACTACTCCAAGGCTAACCCTACTATGCATAACAAGAACGAAATTCTTCGAGCCTGTGTCATCGCTGTTGACAAGTCTAGCAAGAAGATTTCATTGTCTTTGCGTCCCTCCAAGGTTCTCAGCTCTTCGCTACCTGTCCAGGACCGTGAAATCACTTCGCTGAAGGAGGTCAAGCCGAACGATGTTGTTCGCGGCTTCGTTCGACGTGTCACCGACGCCGGTCTCTTTGTCGCAATCAGCCATGATATCACTGCCTACGTCCGTGTGTCTGATCTTTCTGACTCCTACCTGAAGGAGTGGAAGGAAGCATTCCAACCTGATCAGCTCGTCAAGGGCAAGGTCACTTTCGTTGATGCCGAACACGGCAAGCTTCAGATGAGCTTGAAGGAGTCAGTTCTTGACCCCAACTTCAAGGCTCTCCTCACCCTCAAGGACTTCAAAGTCGGACAAATTGTCACCGGAAAGGTCCGCAAGGTCGAGGAGTTCGGTGCTTTCATCGTCGTTGATGGATCTTCAAACATCAGTGGTCTTTGCCATCGCAGTGAGATGGCTGACAAGCGTGTTGAGGATGCCCGCACCCTCTACGATGAAGGCGATGCTGTCAAGGCTAAGATCATCAAGATCGATCAGGAGGCGAAGAAGATCTCCTTCTCACTCAAGGCTTCCCATTTCCAAGATGAGGAAGATGATGATAGTGCGGAGGAAGATGACATGAGCGTTGACGGCCTCGGTGGTGTCGAACTCGGCGAGGACGATGACGAGGACGAGGACGAAGACGACGATGAGTCCATGGGAGGAGTTGATGTGGAGGATGATAGCGAGGAGGAAGAAGACTCTGAGGATGAGGATGGAGATGTCACAATGCAAAAGCCCAGCAAGACCGGCGGCCTTGGTGCCAGCGGCTTTGACTGGAGCGGCAACACTGAGGCTGGTGCTGCAGGCTCAGACAGTGACGCCGAGGAATCCAAGACCAAGAAAAAGAAGAACCGCAAGCCTGAGATCCAGGTTGACCGTACTGGCGACCTGGATGCTAACGGTCCCCAGTCCGTTGCTGACTTTGAACGTCTCCTTCTCGGTGAGCCCGACTCATCTCTCCTGTGGCTTCAATACATGGCCTTCCAGCTGGAGCTGGGTGAGGTCGAGAAGGCCCGTTCCGTCGCTGAGCGTGCCCTGCGCACCATTACTATGGGCCAGGACAGCGAGAAGCTGAACATCTGGGTCGCCCTTCTCAACATGGAGAACACCTACGGTGACGATGACAGTCTCGAGGAGGTGTTCAAACGTGCTTGCCAGTACAACGACCCCCAGGAGATCTACGAGCGCATGATCAGCATTTACATCCAATCTGGAAAGAACCAGGTATGTGTATCCCCCTGAACATTTCAGGCTATAAACACTAACAAGCCCACAGAAAGCCAGTGATCTCTTCTACGATGCTCTCAAGAAGAAGGTCTCCTCCCAGTCCCCCAAGTTCTTCTACAACTACGCCAGCTTCCTCTTCGACACCATGGCCTCCCCAGACCGTGCCCGCGCTCTCCTCCCGCGTGCTTTGCAGTCGCTCCCCGCGCACACTCACGTTGAGACGACCTCCAAGTTCGCGCAGCTCGAGTTCCGCTCGGAGAACGGTGACGTCGAGCGTGGTCGCACTGTGTTCGAGGGTCTGCTGTCCTCCTTCCCCAAGCGCATCGACTTGTGGAACGTGCTTCTCGACCTGGAAATCAAGGTCGGCGATGCGGAGCAAGTGCGCCGTCTCTTCGAGCGGGTCCTTGGCCTGCAGAGTGGCAAGAAGGGTGTTGTCTCCATTGACTCTAACAAGAAGCTGAAGCCCAAGCAGGCTCGCTTCCTCTTCAAGAAGTGGCTTGATTTCGAGGAAAAGCTCGCTGCCGACAACGGTGACGAGAAGATGGTTGAGGAGGTCAAGGCCCGCGCCGTCACCTACGTCAAGTCCCTTAAGGAGTAACTGCGACTCAGGAAAAGTCAAAAATTGTGTTCTCAACCCGTGGGTGTTTGGGAGCCTTGCATTTGTGTTTGTATTTGTATATAGATAGCGATTTCTAGGAAATATCTCTTTGTTCCATCCCGTTCCATCCTACCGCAGGCCGCGATCGTAGCATGTGTATAAAGTACGGGTGTGTATGTCGATCACTTGGCGGCTTGGGCACCTCAACATAGCGAATCAGTGCATAGTATTGACCGGGATGCGCGAGAGAACCCTTAGGGCTGAACAATTCGATTTGTTTGCTGGGATAATCCCTCAAGTGGACCTCGGGATGCAAAGTGTGGAGGTATATGAACTCAACGGGAACGGTGTGTATCCGTTGGACACCGTCACTTCCGCTGCCTCCGCATGAGTTACTTTAAATTGGACCTTTTACCCACTTCTGATCTGGTGAAGAACTTTGTCAGAAATCCGTGAGGTCCGGATTGGTTCAAGATGAGCTCTCTCCAAGCTTCCCCGCAGAGTTCCGCATCCGCTTTGGATGGCCCTCATTTCGACCCGTACAGAGACTCGATAGACACTGAAGACCCAAACAAACCAAATGTGCATCTTGACTCCGTGGAAGTGGGGCGTGCGGCCCACTCATGGCGTCAAGTATTGACAGCCTTGGTTTTTTGGTCTTCGACGTCTTCCGAGGACTTACCTTTGCTGTCAGACCCCTCCCAGCGCAAGAGAAGGTCCTGGCGATCGCGGTGTTTAAGAAGCCTACGACGAGTCTGCGTGGGAATCTTGATCATGCTGTAAGTCTGGGGAAGCAAAACATGCGGTGTCCCAGCGAGGCCAACCACTAACCGATACCAGCGGCATCATCCAGTTCATTTCAATCTCCTGCGGTATCGTCCTATCTTTCTTTCCGGACGAGTACGACCGCGCCGCTCATAATTGGCTGCCGAGCGTGGACAGCGCCAGTGCCGACACCAAGCACTGGCCTACTGATGTCTCGCGCGATATAATCCCTGTCGACTGCCACTCTCATAACGACTATTGGCGCCGGGTCCCGCTGTACTCCGCACTGCAGGCAGGATGCGTGGGCGTCGAAGCCGATGTCTGGCTTTTCGATGATGAGCTCTACGTCGGCCACACCACATCGTCGCTCACTTCGCGCCGCACCCTGCGGTCGATGTATGTCGATCCGCTCGTGGCTATCCTGGAACGTCAGAACCCAATCACCGATTTCCAACCAGGCGCAAACATCCCCGCGCACGGCGTGTTCGACACGGACCCTGGCCAGTCGCTTCTGTTATTGATTGATTTCAAAACTGCCGGTACAGAAACCTGGTATGCCGTATCGAAGCATCTAGGGCCACTGCGGGACCGCGGCTATCTAACGCACTTCAATGGAGAAGAGCTCATCCAAGGCCCGATCACCGTTATCGGGACAGGGAATACACCTTTCAACCTTGTCACAGCAAACACCACCTACCGGGATATCTTCTTCGACGCCCCGCTGGACAGACTGGTTGACGAAGATCCAGATCAGTCCGCATACACCCAACAAAACCTAGAAATGGTCTCACGCGACACAAACACACAATCCACAAACCTGGGCCAAGGCCAGTCCGGCATGCCGGCAGTAATCACGGCCAACACTTTCAACTCCACCAACAGCTTCTACGCATCTGTTTCATTCCAAAAGGCAATTGGATTCCCCTGGCCCTTCCACTTCACACAGCACCAGATGGCCCTGATTCGTCGTCATGTGCGGGTTGCACACCGCCAGGGCTTAAAAGTCCGTTACTGGGCGTTGCCGAGTTGGCCGCGCAGTCTGCGGAATCACATCTGGCGTGTTCTTGCGCAGGAAGGGGTCGATATCTTGAACGTTGATGATCTGGTGGGCGCTACGAAAGGAGACTGGAACACGAAGGTTTTCGATTGGTGGCCGTGAATGATGATTATTATATGCCTAACTTGGTATGGAGTACGGAGTGAATATACTCCAAGAGTACTTTCACGAAAGCGCAAAGGAGCTGGTCTTGAGGCGTTTTATGATTCTTTCTGATTTATGATACCTTCGCTTCATGTCGATAGACTATCTGCTTTATATTTGCTTTTAACTCAAATGAAATAACCTATGGACGCCTATCTGGATCTGGGCAGTCGCACTAAACTACGATATTCGTGATGATAAAGAGGTAGGTTTCTTTGTTAAAAAGAAAAAGAACGATTGCTCGTCGTTTCGCCACAATCGTATTTTTGGTATCTGCATTGGAGCGCAAGGCAGATACTATGCTATTCCTCAAAATATAGCCCATGCCCTTTGGGCCGACAAAATGACACTGGCGCCGGAATGCTTTCAGTAAAATCAGATTAAGATCACATGCATAAAAGTATGGGTTCTCGATTTGAGGCCTCCAGAAGAGATCAAATTACGAAAATTGCCGACGAGTGCTCGACCAGCGGAGGCGTCAACATCAGTAGAAAATAAGCCGGGAACAATTCACAGGCAGAAGAGAGCCTCTTCGCCAAACTCGCGAATAACACTTCCTTCCTCGCGAATGATCCCGCCAAGCCAATGCTTCGCCGTCTCAAAGTCCTTAGCTCCAAACTTGACAAGCACGAATCCAGCTCGCACCCGCGCCGCAGTCCAGGTCACATCACCCTTCTGGCTAGTGGACGGCTCCGGTACCGAGCTCGGTGCATGGTCCGACCAATTTCGGCTACCAATCCGAGGTTGCGACTGGAACTCGTTCATAAAGTACGCACCAAGGTCCTCAAAGACAGGACCGGAAAGAATGAGCGTGCCAACGACGCCATGCGGCCGCGTCCGCTCCGCAATGATATTCAGTGGAGTCAGGCCGGCCGGTGCCTGAGGTGGCATGTCCACGCGGTTCTCGAGACCGTTGTGGATATTGCGATTTGTCGTTTCCACTTCGTCTTCCTCGGACTCCGATGCGTCGGAATCGTCCGAGTCCTCTGTTTCATCGTCCAAGATGACCGAATCTCGGAGGAGAAGACGACTTTTGCCGGTCTTTTCGTCCTGGGCCCATACTTCGTTGCGGCCGCGCCAAAACCGGAAGTTCCAATTTTCGCCGCGGGACGTGCGGCCTTGCGTTACCCAGTCTAGGACACAAAGACTGCTTCTTTCGGCGCCCTTTGCGGCGGCGTCAAGTGTGAATGTTTGAACTTGGGCGTAACGGCTGTTTTGGAAGGGGACGGAGGGGTCGGGAAGATAACAAAGGGCTGCTTGACGGCCAATGCGGACGTCGAGGGATTGTTGGCTCATGTCGGAGAGGTGTTGGTTGGCGGGCATTTGCTTGCGGTGGCCTTTGATGACGTTGGGATTGGAGCCGTTGTTGTTGGGGTCTGTTTTAAAGATCTTGGTGCTTCCTTGTGGCGTTGTGACGACCATCCTAGTCTTTGGTTCGAGGGTGATCGAGACCTCAATATGATCGCCGGGAAGTAAACCGCCGCCATATGTGAGAAGGTAGAGGTGTACTGGGTGGGAGGGACAGGTATCGGAGAGAGCGGAGGGTTCTGGTGTAGGGACAAAGCCGCCGGCGCGCGGGACCAGCTTCAATGGATATTTATAGGTGAGGGTTGTGAGGGTTGGGTTGTTCGGTGGGAGGAGAGAGAGGACGACTTTGCCCTGCCCGGGCTTCGCTATGGAAGACTGGAAGGGTGAGGGGATGGGCACTGCTGGTTGTCGCATGGTGACGATGTGTGAAGTTGTGAAGTTGTGTAGTCAAGGTGGAATTGGCTAAGTAGTGGCAAGATGATCCGGATAAACGATCAAGGCAGAAGATCCGCAAAGGCAAGAATATGCTAAGCCTTTTCAATATTCGTCCAAGTTTTTTTTGGAAAACAGAAACAGATTCTACCCCAGAGTTTTGGAGGGGGGGCGAAAGATATATGAATCTTAGTCACGCACTCCACTCCACGTCAGGGTAAATTTGCCGGACACATCGTGCTCTTGGCCCTCCTCTCCGGAGGGTAGACGAAGCCTCAGAATGGACGAAGGTGGTTTCTATGACACAGAGTATCTCCGCATTTTGCATTAGGCCGGCGGCCAGTTCTTGGCAGTCTTGGAATCTGCACTTCCGATGTCATTTGATCTGCATCTATTGAATAATAGCCGATCCTGGACTCCCTTCACGTACAGGGGGAGGTCATGGGATGGCCTGTGGAGAACACTTTCTCAACTTCTAAAGTTAGGTACCAAATGCAAAATGAAATCACAAATGGGCAGATCTAAAAGAAGAGCGATCTCAACAACGTCCCCTCGGCAGTCCTGGGCCAATTGGAGAGTCTCCACGACGCTCGGGGGAAGGCGCAATTTGTAGATCCTCGGTGCCTGATCCCTCAGGCAGAATATCTTCCAAGGTTACTCCATGTCAGCCCGATGAATTTACTCCGTACTGCAGTACTTCCAAGGTTGAAATACTCCGGAGACGCATATAAGTTGAAACAGTAAGGGACATGTGGGCCTCCAGGGCTGTTCTCCTAAGATCTGTTTATGTGTTTCAATTACGGTGTACTCTGTACTTCGCCATTCTCTGCAGTCTCCGGGCTTTTGTGATTCACACATGTATGATGCATACCTCCGTAAAGTTAATTGGGGCAAAGCTTGGAATGAGCTGTCCCTGGTTACACAAGCACAACTCCGAATATACTGATGTACTTGGCGTCATTGAGCCTAGACCCTACGCCTACCTGATCATTTCTACAGTCGCAGACTCGGAGGATACTCTTTGTAGAACATACTCGGTCCGTTATAAGGGATGAATATTTGCCAGATGTCCAATGTCATCCTGAAGTCATTGAGGGTCCGCATCTCGTTCAATGGGATATGTATGTACTCCTGAAGTCCGTAAGAGCCCCGGCATTACATATTGCGTGATTGGGGCCATATGCCTTCACCTACAATGTTGATCCATCTATAGATACCAATATCCTGGCGTTGACACGGATACTCTGTAGGCATGTGAGTATTCGGCCAGGCTACAATATATAAGTTCTAAAGTTCTAAGTTGGGTTTGCCTTTCCGCCTCCCCGGCCCCCTTTCCAAGGCTCCCAACGTTTGATGGTTCTACTCGGCACGGAGTAGTGACTGCCTAGGTACTCAGCCACAGCGGGCTTCAAGTCGGGAGTCTTCATCGCCAGAGTTCTCTTCAAGGCAGACATGCAGCAAGCCAGCTACTCGAAGCAATGTGCTATTTTCAGCTCGATCCTTTGATTTCAGACATGCATACTTCATAGTTATAGAGCCGAGCATGGGTTTTCTTTGTCTGGCCATAGTCCACGGTACTAGTATGTTCGGTTTTGCGACCATTCTATCATTCTGAAAGCAATTCCAGATGTAGTTGATCGAATTGCACAGTCTTGAATAGCAGTTGGAGACTTTTCTTGCTAGAAGGACTGCTCCGTACAGAGTAAATACGAAAATTGATGAATCCGATGAATCCGATGGATCCTTAAGGTGCCAAGGTTCCAAGGTTAGGGCGGGTTAAGTAATCTGCTGCCTCAGGCCCCAAGGCACGTTGTCGCGTCTCCCCCACGCTGCGATACGTTTCTGCCCAAGCGCTATCTTTTAATTGATCTCATCGGAACTCGTTCAAAAAGGGCGTGTGTCGCGAGAAGCCCACTGTTCGAACTAACGAAATCTCCTTCCCCTTCAAAATTCCGATACTTTGGTCGTACCAACCGCGCGTTGCACGAGCGCGTCGACCTGACTTGACAAGCTCTGCATAATCCATTGAAGACTGTCACTCTGGTCAACCAGGGCTTTCCTCTCATCGCGCCCCCAGAGAATCAAACTCTTCAGCATCATGGATATCGACAACCCGCCTTTGTCGAGTCCCGGCGGCGAGTCGACCCCCACCATTGACAGACGCAAGTCTGGTCGACAAACGCGACGACCGGAAGCCTTCTCGCAAAGCACATTTTCTGCCGAAGAGCAAGCCAGCGGAAAGCGCAAGAGAGACGAGGCTCGCGACGATGACGAGGAAGACGCGTCAGAGTCAGACAGCGACGATGCTGGTGACGACGAGACGGATGAAGAGGAATTACGAGAAAAGCGACGCGCTGCCCGTCGCAATGGGACCAAGAAGCCGTCAAACCAAAAATCAAAGTCCAAGGGATCACACGCATCAAAGAAACCTAAGGTTACCAATGGATTAGGCCGACAGCTTGCATTCAGACCCGCGACTACCGGTCGGTTTCCGGCTGCTCGTTCCCGTAAACCTAAGGTTCGACCTAGTCTTGCAGCGGGTGAACGTGGATTATTCGGTGAGTGGCTTCTCCTCGTGTGCGGACGATCATCTTTGTGGCTAACCATCAACATAGCGGAGGTCTTTGGAAAAAGCAACAATGCGGACACAGTAGCCGCTCAATGGCTTTCCCAATACCAACGCAACAACGGAGACGCAATGTGCAACCTCGTCAACTTTATTCTACGATGCACCGGAACCGATCTTGAAATTGACACTGCCGAAGTGGAAGATGTCGACAATGCCCCGACCCGTATCCAAGATCTTCAAACATTATATCAAGCAGAGGGGATCACTGAGTACCCTCTTATCTCGAAGGCAAAGAAATTCAAGGCTTTCTCCGTCCTTCTTGAAGAATTCACTGTCGCATTGATTCAAACCTTCCATGCGTCTTCGGTCCTATACACCGATGAAAACCTGTTCGAGAACATCCAGATCTGGATCTCATCTTTGTCGACATCGAAATGCCGTCCATTCCGTCATACGGCGACTATGATCTCCCTTGCAATTATGAACGCCCTTTGTGATATTGCGCGTGAGGTTACAACAAGTGTATCCACCTCTAGAAAGCAACTCGAAAGCGAGAAGAAGAAGAAGACCGTGAACAAAGGTCGCGTGGAGGCAATTCAGACCGCCGTATCCGAAGGCGAGCAGAAGGTGGAGAAACTAGACGAGTTCCTGCAAGATGGGTTTGACACTGTCTTTGTCCATCGGTATCGAGATGTCGACAGTCAGATCCGCGCGGAGTGTCTGACAGCCCTCGGTGGGTGGATCCGTACCTACCGCGAGATTTTCTTTGAGGGCCAGTATCTGCGATACCTGGGATGGACACTTGCAGATGTTGTCGCACAGACCAGGTTGGTTGCACTGACAGAGCTTTTGTCACTCTACGAAAACCGGGACAACATTGCTGGGTTGCACTCATTCACTGAACGGTTCCGCCAACGAATCGTGGAGATTGCCGTCCAGGATGCCGATGTTTCTGTTCGTGTGGCTGCCGTTGAGCTTCTTAACCACCTTCGCGAGGGTGGTTTACTTGAGTCAAACGATATCGACTCTGTCGGCCGCTTGGTGTTTGATATGGACCCTCAAATTCGGAAAACAGCAGGACGATTCTTCGTAGCTAATGTGCAGGACGCATATGAGTCAATCACAGAGGAAGTGGGAGAAGAAATCGGCGAACTGCTAGCTGATGATGACGAGGATGACTACGAATCGCCCAAGCACTCATGGATCAAGTTCAAATGCCTCACTGATTTGTTCCAAGCTTATGATGAAGCACAGAGTGAACAACAGTCAGAGCCAATGTCCCGTAATACACTACTGGGCGTGCCGATCGAGTCTCGCTTTGCACTCGCGACGGAGGCTGTTTACCCTCATATGGAAGAGCTTGCACAGTGGCCATCCTTGGCTGGTTATCTACTTTACGATCACTCCCAGATCACCGATGAACCTTCTGAGGACGATACAGCAGGAGTGGTGAAGAATCTTTACAAGATCCAGGAGGGTCAGGAATCGATTCTTCTTGAACTGCTTTGTGCTATCGTCAAGCTTCGCGTTCTTGATGTATCCAAGTCCGATATTGACAAGCGTGGTCGCAAAGTCAAAGCTTTGACTGCTAAGATATCTGAGCTCCAAGAAGAAATATCCCACAACCTGGCCCAGATCATCCCCCGCCTTCTCAACAAATTCGGCTCTTCGCCCGAGGCAGCTTCTGCCGTCTTGCGGCTGGAACATCTCGTGGATCTGGACTCGATTCAAGATCTTCAGAAGGATGCCACGGCCTATTCATCATTACTCAATGACATCAACAAGCAATTCCTGACTCATTCGGACCAAGACGTTCTGGCCGAGGCCAGTGTCGCATTTTTACACGCCAAGAGTTCAGAGGAGATGCGGGAAGCACTTGAAAGCAAGGTGCAGGAGCTTTGGGAAGACATGGTGGAAACACTTAGCGCGCTATCTCGAAAGAAGAGTGTCCTGGAGGGTGCCACAATTACTGATCCTACACTCACTGATTTGAGCAACACTGTTTCTCGAATTGCCAACCTTGCGGGAATTACAGACTGCGCCACCATCCTCGAGACCATCCCCAACGCACGGTCAAAGTCGAAGAAGGACCACCCGGAGGCTCCTTTCAATGCCCTCATCCGTCTCGCTGAACGCGGATCACACGCTGAAGATGAAGATGCAGATGTTGCTAAATCAGAGGCTGAATTGGTGTCATGCAGTATCAGAGCGTTGCTTTTCTATTTCATGTGGAAGGTGCAGGCACTATCCACAGCACTTGACGACGGAAAAGCCAATCACAACACTTCTTACTTTGAGGCACTCACCAAGAGCCGCGAGACTTTTGCCACAACACTTGTGAATATCATCAAAACGCGCTCTGGGCTCGATGATGTCCGGTTCTTAGCATGCACCACATACCTCGACTTGCAGACATTGTTCAGCACATTGCGCAATGTCGGTCACAGCAATGGCAACGACGAAGACGTTCTCCTCCAAACTCAAAGCCTGGTACATGAAATCGCAGCTGAGCCCGAGACACTCATTACCAAAATCCACAGCATCGCCGAACGCACAGCAGCCAAGAAACTTGGAGTCAATCTCGATCCCGCGGAAGACGACGATCCAGCTTCTGAAGACGAACCCGAAGACGAAGACGAAGCCAGCGACTCCGAGGACGAGGAGGTAGTCAACGAGCGTCTCCGCAGCAGCATTATGGCCGAACAGCGCCTCTGCGAACTGACAGGCAAGCTGGTCCTCGCCATCATCGCGCGCGTCATTGACGCTTCCGGCTCAAAGCGCGGCTCTCTCAAGAAACGGCTCCTTCGCAACAAAACCGCCCTCGGACACAATTATCGCGAAGTGCTGTCATATCTCGAGGAGCGCAAGCCGCGTAGTGCCCCGCGCAACAAGGGGAAACAGGCCGCCAAGACAACCAGCTCTCCTTCGAAGGAACCCAAGTCTGCAGAGCAGATTGATGATGAGGATGACAATGCGCCTGTGGAAGAGGACGACGAGGATGATTTGCGTGCGCGTGGTCTTGTCGAGGAGGATATTGACCAACAAAATGAGGAGAATGGGGATCTTGAATCACCCGCGCCCGAGCCGGACGAGGATGAGGTGATGGGCGACTGATCTACCTAGGTAATGGTCTTATTGACGTTCTAACGTGTGCCTGAAAATAATCTTCTGTTTGTTCCAAGGCCATTTATTTTCTTGTTCTTTTCTTTGTTCTTCTGTCTCAATACTTTCTCTTCTCTCTTTTATGGCTAATGGCTTGGATTAACTGTATCTCTTACTTGATTGTGGACATGGTTCGAGTTTCGATATCTTTATTTTGATTTTCTCGTAGTCTTTTTTGCTTTGAATCCATCTATTCCCATCTTGTCATTGCCATACTTGAAATAAATCCACATCGAGTTGTGATCGTTGGTGTCACACGAAGGAACTTATTTGAGCTTTGTGAGACTATGAAAACCGGGTATATCGCCTTGTGAACCTAACAGTAGGCTTTGACAGCGGCTGCCGTATGGCGAGTCTCGATTGCCGCCCTATTTCAAGGTTGCTTCATGGTAGCGATGACATGGGCACCACTCACTACCCGTGGACCTGCCAGCGTAAGAGGCAGGCAGTATCCATGGATGAGACTCACGATTCAAGTGTTTCCGGTATCACGCTCAAGGCTACAGCTGCATTTAGTTTACAAGTGGCTTAGAAAGAATTACTCAAAGAGTTTGGCATTTTTTTCCTGGCTAACTTCATAGTATACCACGAGAAAAGCGCAATCGACAACAATTTTCAGGGGCATGATATTGACCAGTTGCGAGGAATGTACTAGCAAGGTACTATCGCTCACACACGCCCCTGTTGTCAGCGAGCGAGGGAGAAGTTCCCGCGCAGGAGACCAATACCCCGCCATAGAACACCAGGGGATCAGGGGACATTAACATAACTGAGAGAAAACCGATCCTGCTAACAAGGACGCCTGTGTATGAGGATGCTAAAGGGGAGGGGAGGGGATACATGATGGTGAATCTTGTTTATCGTGAAATCAAAGAGGGGGGGAAAAAAAAGAAGTAAGAAGACGGGACGTTGGGGATTATGACAGAAAAAAACCAAAGGGAATCAAGCAAGCATTGAGGACTTGTGAAGATTCAGGCGCTCGGCCGTAGATAGTTCCAGTTAAAGCGCGATGGAGATGTCGCGGAGCTGGAGAAACTGTGCCTTTCGGCGGCCAGTGGCGCCTCGCCCAGTCGGGAATATGCTAGGCGCAGCTTTGATAGAGCGGTCGAGCAAAAGGGTACAGGGGTGGATTGTGCATGGGGAAGGACAATTGTGAGACTTTACATGTCCATGGAATCACCAGCGTTGCCACCGAAGTTGAAACCACCGGGCTGTTGCTGCTCAGTACCGAGAGAGAACCCGGTCTGGGTCTGTTGGGGAGCCAGCTCTTCAATGTCACCACCGGCCTCATCCTCGTCGGAGAAGTACTTCTCGATGATGTTGTAGGCCTTCATGTAGATCTCCTCGTTGGCGTTGTTTTGGCAATCGTGGATCTTCTCCATGCCACCGGCTTCCTCAATGAACAAAGCGTAGCGGTTGACGCGAGCCTCGCCGGCCTGGCCAGCCTCCTTATCCATGTCACCAACCTTGAGAATGTTCTCAAGACCATCAAGGGCGACCTGGATAATCTTGTTGTCAGGGCAGGCCAGAAGATCGCACAAAGGCTTGATGCATCCCTGGGAAACAAGGTAGCGGATCTGCTCGGGCTTCTGAAGACCGCCTGAAGTGGCGTTGGAAATAGCCCAGCAGGCCTCCTTGCGAGTCTTGAAGTCGCCATTGGCAAGCAGGTTAATGAGAGGCGCGATGATACCAGCGTCAATGACAGCCTGGATTTGGCTGGAGTTACCGGCAGTGACGTTGGAAATGGTCCAGCAAGCCTCCTTGCGGATACCGTCCTTGGTGGAGCTCAAGAGGGAAAGCAGAGCGGGGAGGGAGCCGCAGTTGATGATGACCTGGGTCTGAACATCGTCACCGGTGACAATGTTGCCCACGGAACGGAGTGCGGGGGTCTGGACAGAAGTAGAAGCATGCATGAGAAGCTCCACCAGGCGGCGGGGAATACCGGCTTCGATGACAGCTTGGATCTTGTCGTTGGCTCCGTCAGACAGGTATGAGATAGCCCAACAAGCGTCGATTAGGACCTCGTCGTCGAGCATGTAAATGAGCTTGGAAAGGACAGGCAGAGCAGGGGCAATGGTGTTCCAATCCGGTTGAGGGGTCTTTCCACGGCAAAAGTTGCTAAGAGTCCAGGTAGCATTGCGAAGCATGCTCAACTTGCGGCCATCGTTGATGAGGTTCAGAAGCGGGCGCAGAGCGCCAGCTCCGAGAACGAAGTCACGGCAATGAGGGCTGTCACCGGCGATGTTACCAAGAGCCCAAACAGCTTGTTCACGGACATCAGGCTCATGACTGGCGAGCAACTCAACGAAAATGGGGACGGCGCCGGCTTCAATGACGACCTGAGTCTGCTGGGCGGAACCAGAGGCAATGTTGGTCAAGGCCCAAGCGGACTCGAATTGGACCAGAGTGTGAGGCGAGCGAAGGAACTCGACGAAACGTGCAACAACACCAGTTTCGATGACACGCTCAATGGGGGGGTTGCGCTCCTTGGAAAGCAATTTGCGGAACTTAGTAGTAGCTTGGATCTGCTCCTCGACCTGGTCGGAGAAGACACCCTTCACCATCTGAGGAAGCTCGACATTGAGCTTGAAAATCCATCATGTTAGCTTTGTAATCTTCTCGCGTTTTTTTTTATTGCAGTGGGGCGTGGCTTCGATGGAGGGGCGTGGGCCATAGCAACCGGGCGGTGAAAAAAAATCCTTGTATCGCATCATAAAAAAAAACAAAGAAATCACAAAGGAGCCACAACGGGTGGCAATGAAGCCGTATCCCAAGGAGACACCATATCATGATGGGAAATGATAAACAAAATCAAGAACAGAAGAAGTTTCAAAAACATACCTCACTTTCAATAGCACTAGCTTCATCGTCACTCTCGGTGGCGGCATTCATGCCACCAACACCGATACCACCATCCCGGGTTTGGATACCACGTCTCTTGGCTAAGTTGTCCTCACGCTTCTGCTTGCGAATCTCGACCTGCTGTTCTTCACGGCGGCGGCGGAGCTCATCGGGCTTGAACTGGTTCTTGGCCTTGAACTGTGTCCGGCGGTGTTCGGGGATGTAGCGTTCCGCCATAATGATTGTAAGATAGAAAGAAGCGCGCCACAGAAATCAGTTGTGTAAAGAGGGTTATAATATGGGCGCGCTGGGATGGAAGTAAAGGAGGAAGAGGAAGAGAGAGAGGGAGAGAGGGATGTGATGTGGGGGGAGAAGAGTTGTGTGGGAGGGGGAAAGCTATCACGTGATTGCCCATTTAATCGTCAACGACGAGGCTCCAATGTGAGTATCTTGACTTTTGAGATCTCTCATTTCTTACAAGATTGTTTGCTACACTCATGAAAGTAATGCATTCGCATTGGCAAGAGAGCCTACGTCTGTGAAAGTGCATCCGTCGTGGTATCTAAGCATCGGAAGCCTGCAGCACCCTTAACCCCAACGCCTTCCAACTTGCAACAGTCATGGATAACAATTTTACGCCTATATCAGATGCTTGTTCCAAATCAGGCAAATACAATGTCCTAGGAGTGGTCGTCGATTGCTTACCCATCACTTGGTCAAAAGGCTCTTCGGCTCTTGTCACATTCACCATCAAAGACTCCGACCTCGATGGCGACCCACAGACCGGCCTCAAAGTCAAATACTTCAATGACGACGACAGTACTCTTCCTAATGTTGAGCATAATGCTGTGGTCCTCGTGCGGGGAATCCGTGTAGGTACACCTACATGCAAGGTGGGAATATGCTGACCCCAAGGTTCAGACTCGCATATACCAAGGGAAAATGACAGGGGTTGTTTCCCAAAAGGATCTTGTCCCTTGGGCTGTATTTCGTCCGCAGTCAGCTCCAAGCTCTAGCCCAACCATCAGCAGTGGCCCAGTTCCTTTCGAGCCAAGCTTATGGGAACGAAACCAGGCACAATCACTCTTGGACCTCGTATCTGGGGGCGACAGCGGTGTACAACAAACTGCCTCCCGCAAAAAACCTAGTCCTGGTCAAACCACTGTGGTCCAGGCCTCCAAATCCCCTAAAGCTGGAGGTTTGCCAACGTTATTGGTCAAGGATCTGGCGGTTAACAGGTTTTGCCAATTGCTCGGGCAAGTCATAAGGCTCAAATCATACGACAGCGAGAAATGCACGATGTATATGACTGATTACACAGAGCACGAGGAGCTTTTCGAGTACAAGAAACCCGGTGACGATGACAACGGCACTGAGGGCGACCCGTACAATTACATCAAGAGGAATGACAGTAACGACTGGCCAGGCCCATGGGGCAAGCGTGTTCTTCAGGTCACTCTGTGGGAGCCGCATGCTAGCTTTGCTCGTGAAAAGGTCAACCCAGGCGATAATGTCCTGTTGACATATGTCCGGCCTAAGGAAGATCGTTACCTAGAGGTTGCCGTCCATGAAGACAGGAAATATCCAACCAAGATTCATCTTCGAGTCTGTAGCAACAACGATGAGCGCGTTCAAGAATTACTGAAGCGGCGAGCTGAGTATTGGAATGTGCACGGCGAACCAAAGAAAGAGGCCAAAAAAGCCAACAAACAAGCCAAAAAAGTCCAGGGGCAAAAAAAGGAGGTTCGCAAAGAGGAAGGCCAACTAACACTATCAACATCGACCCGAATTAAGAAAAATGCGAATGGTGAGTTGCCTTGGTGCCTTCATAGCGGGATTAGTCTAACAGACATCCAGTCAAAACAAGAATTTACACAACGGCCATTAGCCCTCTGGAGAAGATTATCTTGGCTGAAAGTCACAAGAACAATGGTCCAGGGGGAGTTGTCTACCAGCTTCCATTCCAGAACGTCCATTACCGCTCTACGGTTCGAGTAGTCGATTTCTTCCCCCCGAATCTGGAGGATTTTGCGGTCCAGACTGCGTACACTCCCTTGTTTACCAGCCAAGACTCTGCCACCGGGCCTACAGTTGGGTGGCAATGGCGCTTTTGCCTTCTCGTTGAAGGAATCGGGCCCAAACAACCCAACCACGAGCATCGAGAGCTTGTGAAGCTCTATGTATCTGGCCAGGACGGTGATTGTCTTCTCAACGAAGAAGCAGCGGAGTAAGTAAATCCTAGCCAAACACATCCACGGGCATACTCTAACGGTGCACCCTTACATAGTCTGCGCGCTCAGCGTAAAAGACTAGCTCGGGTCAGAGAAAAGCTCTTTCTTCTGTGGGGTAATCTCGAAGAGCAAAAGAACAATGCCTTGGCCGCTGGCAAGCAAACCTGGGGACCAGTGAGCTCGGTGCCATTTGAGTGTTGTATCAAAGAGTACGGGGTACCATGTGCTCATATGAGAGACTCCAATGCGATGGATATTGATGACGAGTCTTGCATTCAAAGTGATTGCTTCGGATGGGAAAGACGATTCGCCATGTTCGGCACAACCATCCATGAAGAATGACCTAGGTCTTTGTATGATCGAGTTTTAGTTTTCAGTTCTGATACCCCAAATAAAAATCATGAAATATGGATTGATCGTTTGTAAAAATACAATTTATGAGAAAGAAAATTCGGATCAACACATTAAGGGACTTTTGCGCCCAAACCCATCTTTATCGCCCGTATTCAAAGATGTGGACTATCTTTGTTCGCAGGGCGAACCCCCCAAGCCACCATCCTTCCAAGGTTGCCAATGCCACGGTGGCATTCTGTAGACATATTTTCTGCGAACCCGGGCCCGATCACGCCAAACCCGATTTAAAGTAATTTTATGACCTTTCTGCAATCCCGAAAGGTCCAGTTCATCCCAGGTGAACGTGAGGATGATCTCATGAGACCCTTAGATTTTGGTAACTTTGACAATGTTGGTATCGATTCCATGTGCCACAGGCTCAAACCGACAGCTGTCGCCTCGGAAACAAGTCTTTTTACCGGGCTCGCTCTGGGGGCAACGGTGACCATAGATGCACTCAACGTCGTCGCATTCTAGTCCGAAACGGCAAGGCGTCATGCGGGCAATTGCAGACAAAATATGAAGGTCTTGGCGGGACAATTTGCGATCATGGTCATGATAGCAGCTTTCTTCGTTGGGACATTCGCCGAGCAAGAAGTGATAATTGCAAAGCTTAAGCTTTTTCAACTTATTAAGGTCATCGCGAGGAATACTCTTGAAGTCCAGTCGATCAACACGTTGACCGTACTTGTTTCGCTCCACGGTCTTTGGGGGATATGCGCCCAAAACTTTGGGACGAACGACCTGGAAATCAGACGGGTCGGGCTTATTGGTGACTGGGGCTAACGGCACCCCCAGATTTGACACACTGGTGCTGGTGGAGGTTCGTGACAACGGTGCAGGTGTCTGAAATTGTTGAGTCGGTGAAGGAGTGAGTAGGGTCCGGGAAGGAATTGCGCTTTTCCAAGGGGCAGTCCAGCTCGGTACACTTGGCACAATCTTGGTGGACCGGAACACATCCGGGAACTGGGTGATTCGATAATCCTGTTGTCTAAAGTCATCGAACTCCTTCTCAAGTGGCAGGCCTTCAACCAGCGAGACCCTGCCCTTATAGTTCGCCCCAGAGATCAATTCTCTGAGGGATCCGGCATATTCTTCATTTGAGGGGCAGCCTAAGAACAGTTGATGGCAATGGCAGTTGTATAAGTAGAGCTTGAAGGCCTCTGCAGAATGGGAGCGAATCAGCAAACGAGTCCTGGCATCACGAGCTGTACCACATACCCTTGATTTTATCGTGCGCCTTGTTCTTACCAGTCCCAACATCCACGATTTCAAAGAAAGAGGCACTCTCATTGAATCCGCGAATAAAGTCACTGATGGTGGATATTTCCACCGTCATTCCACCACGATTGTAAGTGTCCAACAGTCCCTTCACGTTAAGATAGATTTTGGTCATTATCTTCGGCTCGGCGATCGTGGGTAGGTTGGTTGCGACATAGCTTTGGAGTGATTTCCAAAGTTGTTTGGCGGCGTTGCGTCCACCCTGCTCTCCTAGTAGCAAGAACTCGTCCTTGAACATAATGCCTTCGCCATCTAAAAGTAAAACGACGAATGGTTCTCGGTCCTAGACAAAGAACACCACATATCAGTCCGGCTCTCGCTATGGGTCTGTGCAGACTGCTCACCATCATATTCTTGACTGACGATATCTGGTCCATTAACTCCATCTCATGGAGTTGAATATCTCGATTGAATCGGGTCTCACGCTCATGGTCAAGTTTTTCTTGTTGGAAAGAGTTCTCTAAAGCGGTTACTCGTTGAAGTAGTTCCTATCAAGCCCGTGAGTATGAACCTGGCACCAAGGGAGAGGGCGTATCTAACCTCGATAAACTCGTTCTTCTGCTGATCCAGAGTGCTCAATTGGCGATAGCGGTCCAGGTAACCTTGAGTCGTCATTTCGGCAGATTGCTGAAAGTCCGAAAGATCTGATAGTGCAAGGATGAGAAATGCGACGAAAGAGAAGGAAGAAAGAAAAGAAGGGATTGAAAGCAAGTTTCAAGATGAGAACAGTGAGATCGGATTTCCTCAAGTTGGCAGGCGCTTGCAGGTCACGATCTCCACGGCGCGTAAATGGGGCAATGCTCACGGAGCGCCGGTCATTAAATTAATTTGATATAAAAGAACAGAGATTATAGCACGCGTGTTTCTTGTTACAATAAAAAAAAATCAATCTAAGAATCCGCGCGCGGATCGTATGCTGAGGTAATCCGATCCCCGGTTTTGCATACGTGGAGCCAAATGTTCCTTTCCCAACTCATCCTCTCCCACTCCCCCCGTTCTGCTTCTGGTTACGTTCAAGATGACTCGATTTGGTTTCCTCTCCTTGGCCTTGCTTTCTCTTCAAGCCTTTGTCGGCACCGGATTCGCTGCCGTATGTTCCATCTCATTTACCCCTCAGCGTTGTCGCAGCGCCCAATTGACTGACTCGTGTGATCTGTTTAGGATGCTGAACAGGCTGAAGCAGAGGCCCCTGTTCTTGCCGTTTCTGCGCAGGCTACCTTCCCAGCCTCTGAGATTTTTGGCATTAAGCTTGTCAATGGCCACCCGACCCAGGCGCTGATCGCCGTCGCCAACGATGAGCCGAACCCTATTACCGTCAATTTTGTTGGCGGTGCTCTTCGTAACCCCGAGGATCAGGCCCAGATCGCCCGCAACCTGACTGCCACCCGTTATGGTGTCGAGATCCCCGCCGGGGCCAAGGAGACGATCAGCTACAGCTTCGCCACCGAGATGCATCCCCAGGACCTCCAGCTTACCCTGTCTGCCATCCTCTCTGACAGCGAAGGTCGATTCTTCACTGTCACTGCTCACAATGGCACTGTCAGCGTTGTTGAGGCCGATACCAGCATTTTTGATCCTCAGATGTAAGCAGCTCCCCCACGTTTCAAACTTGTCTTGTACGGAAGAGCGTAACTAACAGTCGCTCAGCATCTTCCTTTACTTCTTCCTCCTAGCCTGTGTTGTTGGTACCGGTTACTTCTTCTACTCCGTTTGGATCGCTCCCTACTTCCCCCAGAAGCGCAAGTCCACCGGAAAGACTGGGGAGAAGCGCACCCAGGCCTCGAAGCGCGCGGAGACCCAGGCTACCGAAGAGACCACTCCTGCAGCAGCTGCCTCCTCCACCTCCACTTACAACGCTGATTGGATTCCCTCTCACCACATCGCCCGCCCCGAGGCGCGGAAGGTCAAGGGCCGCTCTAAGGCCCGTGCGTGAAGCACGACAGAAGATGCAGGCACTAGCCAATTGATGTTCAATGGCTAAATATCCGCGTAGTCTGTCTAGTGCAATGACATCGCCCGGCGCTGGAAATGCGTCGAGCTCCAGTCAACACCACACATCATGTATATTTCTAAGATAGAAGGTTTAGGCCCAATGTAGCTTTTGACAAGGCTTCATTAGATGTACGAGTTTCATCCATTATATTCCATGCTCTGTCTGCAATGGCTGGCTTCATCACGGCCACACCTTCATTTTTTATACTCTCTTCCAATTTGCAAACTCTTGCTCTAGATGTTGTTTCAATTCGGTGAATCGGTTTCCAAACATCTTTCCACAACGCCAACAAGCAAAGTCCCGCTTGAGATATCCTTCTGCAGTTGGTCGCCGTCGTTCATCGTTAGGCCCCAATGGGAAATCGTCAATCGGCACAAAGAATGGCGTTGAAAAGCTATTGTAGTGTTTCCGGTGTTTCAGGCGGTCGCTGTATCTGTCCACTGATAGCACGTGAATGTGCAAGTGATTCATAGACGGCACTGCATGGACGCCGACTACGATCTCTTGTTCCCAGTCGCGACCTTGCGGTAGCTCATCCGGCGGTGGGTCTGCGCTCAAAGCTGCCTGTCGCGCCTGCTCCTGCGCAGAGTCTTTCCCATATTTGCGTCTTAACTCGCCTGCTGCCAAACTGCGGAGCTTACCGGCCTCAACCTTGACCTTGGCCAGAAATTCGGCATCTTCGAAGGCATCAAATGGGTGGAGGCGCGTTTTCGTCTGGTCGCGGGGAAGAAGGAGGAGGTGTAGTGAGGACTTAGGGAACATGTCATAGATCGCCACAAAATCTTCATTGTGGTAGACCACAACACTAGGGGGATATTTCTCAGGCTTATCGATGTAAGCACCTAATCCATCTCGGACGCCGAATGTAGCTTTGCCTTTGACTGCATTGCGATCCGAAGGAGCTTTGGTTTCGGACTTGTGTTGTTTGTTCTTGGAGCCCATGAGCTCGGTGACTATTTCAAACAAATGTTAGTACCATGAGCTGCAAGCACAAGACTCGATGTAGTCGTACAGGCGTTTCTCTTCTGCGTCCCAGCCTGCTCCGTCAAGCCTTCGCTCGTATTATTACTCTGGTCCATCTCAAGGCATGAAATCAGAGAAATGGGAGAGACTTGGTCAAGCGGAGAATCTGGGATGCAGCATCACCTTTGGAAGCCAGAGACAAGTGTCACTTTGGACTCTAAAATGACTCGAAGGGCACCGCACCTCTTTTTGGTCCCCGCATTTCCCAAAACGGTTTAGTGCGGGTCACTCTTTTGCCAGCTCCAAAAGTTGTTGGACGACCTTTTCACGGCCACTCGCGACAATTGACACGAGAATGCCTCCGAAGAAGAAAGGCGATGGGAAAGGCGGCCCCAAGCCTGGCACAAAACAGGCCAAGGCGGTCGCAGAGAAAGCAGGGGAGGCAAAGCCGAAGCCAACAACAGAAGAGCCTAAGAAACCATCTGTGAAGGAGGTCATTGGCGGCGCATCATGGACAGGAAAGCTGCCAGTCAATATGCTGGCAGAGCATTGCCAGAAGCAAAAATGGGAAAAACCTGAGTACAGCATGGTAATAACTCCCGCTGCGATCTATGTCGCATTCTGCTTGCAGATACACACGCTGATAGATTGCGATGATTGCAGATAAAAACCTCGGACGGATTCGTGTCCGCCGTCACAATGAAGAAGATAGACTCAAAGACTAAAGAGCTCATTGTGATTCCACCGATGAAACTCCCTCCCTCCCATAAGCATCTCGCCGGACAACCAACAGCCCTCGAGGCGCGCCACTTTGGTGCAGCTTTTGCTCTATTCCGCGTGTGCAATATGCGCAATATTCATATGATGATGCCTCCTACTTATAAGAAACTCTGGAAAGAAGACTTCGGGGAGATCAAGGCAAACGACACCAGGGAGGGCAAGGGCTGGATGTACGAGGCAGATCCGTTCCTAGCCAAACAGGAACGTGAAAGTGCAGCGGCCGATCTTGCAAAGAAACGTGCGGATAGGGAAAAGGCGCAAGCCAAAGAGAAGGCATCCAACGCCGAGTTAGGGTTAGGTAATGGGGATGTCAAGTCCAAGCGTATTTGGTCGCAAGCACCCAAGGTGGACATGGGCACTCGGATCCGGAGAGATATTGAAGGTCTGCTGCGACAGCATACGGTCTGGAATCCTTACGGAGTGAATATCCCAGAAAATCGAAAGAAGGAGATTGCAGACGAGTTCTCTAGCTTGGGTTTCCGTCGAAGTCATGTTGAAGAAGCTGCGGCAGAATGCAAAGACCGTGAGGAGGTACTGGAATGGCTACTCATCTATGTCCCCGATGATGACCTTCCACGGTGGAGTCTACCAGAGGGTTATTCGGCTGGAGTCAGCCTTGGTTCCGGTGATCTCGCTCGTGAGGCCAAGATTAAGAGACTGGCATCTGTTGGTTACCCGTCTGATATGTGTTCTCGGATCTTGGATAGTATGGACGGCGATGAGTGGGCTGCCGCGGAACAATTGCAAGGCACTTTGGTTCACGGATCTGAATACACACTCCCATCAGTCGATGAAGATGACGAGGCTTGGGCGGAGGAGGCGGTCACACTGGAGGCTATATTCGGTGAGCGTTATCGTCGCATCTCAGCCAAAGTCTGTGAGATCAATAGCGAGGCAGCGGAACTGCCCGCCAGTACAACCTTTCGCTTCCAAAAGCCCTCCGCTCACTATCCAACCACGCCTCCTGTCATCTCAATCCAGGCAAAAGGTGTTCCAGCTTATATACGCCTCAGTGCAATCCGTCGAGCAGTACGGTATGCCGAGGACAACTTCTCGGGTGAGTCTATGATATTCAATGTCATGGACTGGCTCGAGGTCAACCTACCTGCTGTTATGGAGAACCCGGGCAAGCTACGAGAGATCTCTGCTGTCACGACCTCCATGGTGGTCGAGACTCATCAGGTTCCAGTTCGTTCATCACGCAAGAATCGCAAGGGAATTGATTGGAATGTCGACTCGGAACGAAGCTTGGCTATGCGTGATGCCTGGGAGACAAAACAAAACACAGCACCGCAACTCGAAATGACTCGGAAGCGAAAGGCACTTCCCGCCTGGAATACTCAATATGATATCATTCAGGCTATCAACTCGCACCAGGTGACTATTATCTCCGGTGAAACCGGTAGTGGTAAAAGTACCCAATCGGTGCAATTTGTGCTAGATGATATGATCCAGCGCGGACTGGGAGGTGCTGCAAACATCATTTGTACACAGCCGCGACGAATCTCAGCATTGGGTCTTGCCGACAGAGTCAGCGATGAGCGTTGCTCCACTGTTGGTGATGAAGTTGGATACGTGATTCGAGGCGAGTCCAAAGCCAAACCTGGCTCCACCAAGATCACCTTTGTGACTACAGGTGTCTTGCTCCGTCGAATCCAATCTGGCGGGGACGCAGATGGCAACGTATCCAGCTCTCTCGCGGACGTTTCGCATGTGGTGGTTGATGAGGTTCACGAGCGCAGTCTGGACACAGACTTCCTCTTGGCGCTTCTGAGGGATGTTTTGCGTTATCGCAAAGATCTCAAAGTAATTCTCATGAGTGCTACGCTTGATGCGGGTATTTTCATGGATTACTTTGGCGGACAGCAGTCAGTTGGATTGGTGAACATCCCTGGTCGAACGTTCCCCGTTCAAGACTACTACTTGGACGATGTTATGAGATACACATCTTTTGCACCGGAACTTGCGGAAGAATACGAGTATGATGAAGAACCATCCCGGGGTGAGGAAACGCTTGGTAAAGCACTTCGCAGCCTGGGCATGGGCATCAACTACGATTTGATCGCAGCGACTGTCGAATACATTGATGCACAAATGGGTGAACAGCCTGGTGGGATTCTGATTTTCCTCCCTGGTACCCTGGAGATCGACAAGTGTCTGGCAGCAGTCAAGAGAATCCCAAACACACACCCTCTACCATTGCATGCATCTCTCCTCCCCGCTGAGCAACGAAGGGTATTCCAAAGCCCCCCAAGAGGAATGCGAAAGGTTATTGCTGCCACCAATGTAGCGGAAACTTCTATTACGATTGAGGATGTCGTTGCTGTCATTGACACTGGTCGAGTCAAGGAAACAAGCTACGACCCTAAGGACAACATGGTCCGACTTCAAGAAGTATGGGCCTCGCAAGCGGCTTGCAAGCAACGCCGTGGTCGTGCTGGTCGTGTCCGCGCAGGTATTTGCTATAAGCTGTACACCCGCAAAGCCGAATCCAACATGGCCCAACGGCCAGACCCGGAAATTCGCCGTGTGCCACTGGAACAGCTGTGTCTGTCAGTAAAGTCTATGAAGGGAATCGACGATGTCGCCAACTTCTTAGCAAATACCATCACCCCGCCGGAAAGTATAGCTGTTGAAGGTGCATTGAACTTCCTACATCGTGTAGGGGCCCTTGATCATGACAAACTCACTGCACTCGGTCGATATCTCTCAATGATCCCTGCCGATCTCCGATGTGCCAAGTTGATGATCTATGGTTCGATTTTCGGCTGTATTGAACCCTGTCTCACCATTGCAGCCATGTTAACGGTCAAGAGCCCGTTCATCTCACCACGCGAAAAACGCGAAGAAGCCAATGCTGCCAAAGCAAGTTTCTCTCGCGCAGGCGATGGCGATCTTCTCACGGATCTTTCGGCTTACCAGGCTTGGTCTGAGCGAGCCCAGGCAAAGGGTGGCTATTGGGGGACCCAGTCGTGGTGTGGTGCCAATTTCCTCTCCCACCAGACGCTACGCGATATCTCTTCCAATCGCGCTCAATTCATCACCTCTCTCAAAGATGCAGGTGTCCTGGCTGTCAACTACTCAGATTCTTCGCCCGTTTGGAACCGCAATGCCTCCAATCGTAACTTGATCCGTGCTCTCATTGCTGGAGCCTTCCAGCCACAGGTCGCGCAAATCTCATTCCCAGATAAGAAGTTTGCCAGCTCCGTCACCGGTACTGTTGAGGTTGACCCAGATGCGCGTACTATCAAATACTTCAACCAGGAGAATGGTCGTGTCTTCATTCACCCAAGCTCGATTCTTTTCTCTGCTGCTGGCTATCCCAATGCTGCGGCATACATCAGCTACTTTACAAAGATGGCTACTAGCAAGGTTTTCATTCGCGATCTTACCCGTAAGTTACTAGGCCCCATGCATCGCGTCATGGTCTTGTTTCATTCTAACGGGTTTCCAGCTTTCAACGCATACTCACTACTTCTTTTCTGTGGCTCCATTGAGCTTGACACTGTGGGCCGTGGTCTGGTTGTAGACGGCTGGCTCCGTCTCCGTGGCTGGGCCCGCATCGGCGTACTCGTCTCGCGACTCCGGACGATGTTGGATGAGGCTCTTGCGGAGCGCTTCGACAACCCTGCGCAAGTGACTGATGGCAACAGTATCGGAGATCGAGTAATCGAAGCTGTCAAGAAACTCATTGAGTACAATGGGCTTGATCAGTGATTGGGAAGATGATTTTTTAGGCACTTTAGAGCATGATCAGGCTAGTAGATAGACCGGTTGGAATGATTCACTATAATAGGCAATTTCAACACTACTGGTAGCAAACCTTGGAACATACAAAGACGTGCTTGGTAAACTGCTGGATTGAGAACTAATCGACAACCGACAAAACTGGGAAGGCAAAAACCGAATAGCGACAGGAAGTAGACAACATTCTCACCGATTGCTTGATGGGGCAAAGGCAAGTCTACTAACAGATCAGAAATTGCAGGGCAGAAGACCCTGGGAGGATACAAGTAATTTGCATCCATTTGCTATCTGGCATAAGACATCCTCCCTAAGGCTATTTCGAATTGCACGAATTGCCAAGTAACAATGCATAGTAGCAATAATCACTTAGCAACGAGCGCGGGAAACACCGTGGGACACCAGTATGTAAAAAATTCAATCAATCTGCAAAGCAAGGGGGGGGTAATAAGACAAGGATTAGGGCAAATGCGGTCACACGCAGGGTAAGACGAAGACTGACGTGGACGGGGAATTGCGCAACAAAGGGAGAAACCAGGTATGTGCCGTAGAAACAACAAGGAAATGGGTGTGCAGTGACGCCGAAGGAAAGCAGACCGTTGTCGACGCCTTCCGATCATCTATTCGCATGTCCGGAAAAAGGAGGCGTAAAGTCATCTTGTCGTCAGCCCAAACGGACTGGGAAGGAAACAGAAGGAGGATGAAGAAAAGATTGAAGAAAATGAAAGTGGAAAAACGGACGGAGGCCACACATTCAACACCATGCAGAAGAAGAAGAAAGCACCGTTTCGCCTGTTCGCCCCGAAGATAACGCCTCTTGTTGAGATAAAAGCAAAGATAAAAGTTCAGCGATAGTTGGTGACAGAATTATCGTCATCAACATGGCTAGCTTGCGGTGGTATGTGCAAGATAGCGCGGATTTCAGGCGAACGAGGTATTAATAGTTCGCCAGTCCATCCAAGCGATCGGGGTTCCGAAGACTAGCAATCTTTGGCAGGGCGAAGTCGGTTGCCAGCTCGTTCTCGACGAAGATGGACGCACGCTTGAAGCGACGATCGGCGTATTTCTCGAAGATGGCAGCATGGTGACGGCGCGGGTTTTCACAGCAATCCATCATGGTCTCAAGGACTGGAACCAATTGGGCATACAGGTATCCGCTGTAGTAGGCATGAGCCGGGGTCTGTGATCAGGAAAGTTAGCAATATACGCCTAAACGAGTAGAGCCTCAACATACCCAGTTGCCCTTGTTGAGGAGCAGGCGAGCCAGACAATGGGCGCCTGCAGCAACAAAGCTTGGGGGAGTGCAAACAAAACGTTCATCCATGATGGCCAACTCGAGGAAGTATTTGGCAACGGTACGTGTCTCCAAATCATACTCGTCGGCCTTACTGATGCGTCGCAAAAAACTCATGGGACCCGGCCATCCCAGATCAAAGTCAAGGATGGTTAGCATGAACCGTTCAGCTTTCAAAATTTCATCCACAGTGTAGCCGCCATCAACCATGTACACGATTTCCTGCACGGATGGAGCTGTGATTTCCTCGAATTTGGCAGCGATGAAGATGGCAGTTGCACCCACCAACTGTAATTTGCCAAGGGAGACAATCTTGTGAGACAAGAATCGGTCAATGTAATTGACGGTGAGGAACAGAGTCTCAGGGAGTAAATTGAAGCGCTGGTGGACCTGGACAAGCCAGTCCATCAAAACCGAGCGCATCGACCACTGGATCTCCGCCTGGTTGTCCATGTAGTCGGGGATTGGGAGCATCTCGATCTATAGAATGAGTCAGTTTCAGTGCTGAAAATATTTGGAATGGAGCCAATGCTTACCTCTTTCTTCCTGAGGTGGAGGAAAATCTCAGGGTTGTACTCAGCCACCATAGTTGGATCCAGCAGATCCTCCTCCCGATCCTCTTCAGTTTCTTCGCTTTGAACAATGTCTTTGGCCTGGAACATCTGGTCCTGGGTCATAGAGGTCATTCTGGGATAGATCGTAGTGGTAGTTGCTTCTGTGGGGGCAACCAGGTACTCAGTCTCCTCCTCTTCCCACTCCTCAGTCTCCGATACCGTTGCAGGCTCCTTGGCGCGCAGCTGTTCCTTCACGTCCTCCGGTTCGGAGATTGTGGCATCTGATTCGATCTGAACAGAGGTGCTCACAACCGCCTTGGAGGGTACCACGGCAATAGTTGTTGGCTGGACCCCACGCTCAGGTTCCTTCATGTTCACTTTGGCTTCAGTTTTAATGTTTGTTTCCTTGGATGAGTCTGTCTCGGGGACAGTTTGCAGTTGATCTTTGAACACGGCGTTGTTGCGCTTCGTATTCTTGTAGGCAGTTTGGGCTTTTCCGGCAGGGTTCATGGGCTTCGTGTTGGCGGCTTTATCGACGATGGTTCTGGCACCTGACAAAGACGTGGGACGCTGAGCGGGCTGGGATAGTCCAGCTTTACTCTCGGTCACGACCACCGACTTTCCACAGAGTGCGGAGTCGTCACGGGCACCACGGTTCATGTCCTTGGTGTTGCTGACATCGCCAAAGGCACGTCGAGGAACGTTGGTGTGGGACAACATGCTCAGTGCGGGAGTCGATTTGTTGCGTTGGTGAAGGGTTTTGTTATTATTCAGCGACGAGGGGGGCATATTCTCATCCCCGGCGGGTCGAAAACGCTGTGGCTTCCAAAGATGTCAGTTCGATGTCCATTGCGCCATGAGGCAATTTAGGTGTCAACACAGCCGCGTTGTGACGCGATTGACGCGTAACGACAAACACAAACACAGGCTGGAGGAAGTTCGAAGAGCTAACATACCTTGGCGTCCATGGTTGCAAGTTTGGAGCTGAGCGTGGTCGATAGAGTGCGGTTGTAGAAGAGTGTTGTTTACTTTTTGCTCAGTTGAGATGGAGACAAAGTTGCCCCTGTATGATTGGTTGACCCAAGCAAAATAAACTGTGCTTGGACCCGCTTTCTCATAAGCACCTTCCAAATGTTCAAACGGTTTTACTCCTCGACTCGCAACTTCTTTCAGGTCCTTTCGGGTCCTTGCAAGCTCACAAGTTGAGTAGCCAGAGCGATGAAAGGGAAAGAAGGAAATACCTCCCCTTGTTCCTGAGATGTGCCTGTCTACAAGGTACGCTAGCCCCGAAGCGGAATGTTCTGCGGCGGCGCATTTCGGCCACTTGTGCAGATCTATTTCATTGTCCTTGTACCCTTGCCGCCTCGAGAAATTAGGTCCAGGCCCAGTGAAACATTGGATGTGCTCCCTGCCAACTCAGGCGTGAGGGGTTCCGGTGTTACTGTTAGAGTCCAATCCCCACACAGCTATTTTCACTCCATGGTGAGATTCAGTTCACGAACCGTCAGAAACACTAGTGAATCGCTCTACTACTACAAAGGTATATAATATAGGGCCCCAGGACTCAATGACCTATTTGTTGCCTCAATATGCCTAGCTCTACATCGCTGCAGTCACCGCTTCATGTCTGGTATTGTAATTCGCATTTGACATTAATGAAGCTTTCTAGCGTCTTAAAGATCTCTTGAGCCCTCTTCTGAAGCCTTCTTTCTCGTCTTAGTCACTCCAAATACCGACCAATTGATCAACCAATGTCTTCTCGAATCGGTGAATCGCTCTACAAAGTAGATGCTTTGTATATCCGTGCCTTCATCAACCCCCTCCCCCCACAAGCCACCGGTGTCACTGGTGCAGTACTCCATACTCTGTACTCCTTAATCACGGTGCTACACTGTACTTAGTACAGAACACTCCGTACTCTGTACTGTTGTCTTTTCCAAGGATGATGTGGGGTTAATTCACTGTCACTCGTGCAAATTAATAGCCTTGAAACTAATCAAGATTCCTAGGCAGCAAGGCGACATCGATCCAATCGCGGGCCAGATCCTCACATTTCCCGATGTAGTACGTAGATGCATTTCCCTACATTGTACCCGACTTGCGTGCAGTTGAAATGCGACGATAAGAGTTGAGGGTCCGTCTTATCGGATGGTGTTTGCACTGTTTGTTGTTGAATCTACGTCATCAGCCTTATCGGCGCGTCTTCCTCCACAACCGCAAAACATCATTTTTCTGTCGCACTCCATCATAGGCTGTTCAAATGTTACCAAAAATGATCTACAACTCCATTGATGCTTCCTGCATAATTACCGACCTCAAATCTCCCCAAATCGATCCGATCCCGGGCGTAATCGCCCTTTTCGCAGAGGATCTAGATGCAACGCGCTATGCACGCGCATCACGTGATACCCACACCGCCGTCGCCAGAGGTGGGACACCGGAATCAAGCGGTTCCTGTTTGGCAGCTTTGATGATCGACCGAAACCCACTCGGATTATTGCGACAAATACTCCCTTCTGCGCTGCGCCCATTTAATGTTTTCTCGAATTTCGGGCGGGATTTTCATGTGTTTAAGACTGGCTACGAGAATCATCGGGTTATTCTAGCGCACGTTCTTAGTGCGAAGATCATTCTATGCTTGTTCTCTTGAGCGGCGCCACGTAATATGTCCCCTTTTGCAATGATTTTTTCTCGCAGATTTGCGACAGGCTTTTGGTTCCATGCCGTACAAGTTCCAAGGAGAGTACTCGAGAATGCTCTGTAACCCCGAGGCGGGATTCCCTTGGACTTCTTACGTAGGTCCCGAGGAGGGGTAGACTAGAACTGCAGATCATTTAAGACATGCTTAAACAGTCATGCGATGAGCGACTGGATGGTTTGGGGAGGATTAGAGAGTGGAAATTTATCGGTGACATCCTGAATTGGCGTATGTATCAATCTCCATGTGTGGATCGAGAGACCACTTCAGTTCGACCCGGCATCTTCTGATGCATCAACCCCCCATCATAACTTGTCGCGGCGGCCAGTATGTTGGTTCCCATGGACTAAATAAGCCATGCGACAAGGGTGTGTCATAGGGAAAGGGCCTGGACAATGCCAGTTCTCGGCGCAAGTCCCTAACCAAAGACACACAAAAAAAAAAGAGAAAGATGGGACACGAACTAACGACGTGGTCTAGCTGGAGACTAGCTGCAAGCCATCGAATCGATTGGGCACTATTTCTTCATATTTGGGACCCTCCAGCACTCCATTGATATGGGCTACGGTGCAGTGAATTGAGGTACCCAAGGTACCCGCTTTGTGTGAAATGAACGGCCAGGACACCATGGGTGGCATGGACTCTGTATCTTTAAATCTCGGTTTATAGTCTTCCTGCTAGATCTCTCACTGGAGAAGGGACTCCAAATAAAGTGCTCCGTCGCTCGGCGCAATGGTATCCGGCTTGCGACAGCTTTTTGCGCATTGCGAAAGGACATAGCCTCGGGGTGGTTTCGCACACCGTTTAATTCGCAGGATACATTAAATGCAGAGCTAAGCAGCAATTTAAAGATAATTATATAGGCTAGGGGAAATGATGCTGCGATGGGCGCCGGAAGCGCAAATCGCCATGTCACCGACCCAGACAGGCCGTTTTCTCGCTTTAGGTGAAACCATCGTACGCACCCACCTCAACCTTCTTCCCTCCAACAACCCCCCGATCAACTCGCCATCTACGTTGCCGAATCTATTGGGTATGTATCTCTGCTTTCGATTCTGCCGCCTTTTTATTCCCCTGATCCCATTTGGGCCTTGGGGATGCCACCGCTGACATAGCCTCAGCGCTACGTAGAATCGACAATCCCCTCTCGACCCTCGATCCGATTCCATCCTTCGAACCCTGACCGTGCCTGGGACATTCGATATAATTGCGATACTGCAGGGTTCTGTTTGAGCTGGTTTAGGTGTGTTCAAACCCCTCTCCATTCTCTTCCGGGTCCTCTCGCTTGCTTGCCCCCCAAGGTCGGCCGGACTCGGTTAGCGACACATCCATCCATCATCCTCCCCTCCAAAACCCATCATACTCGTATCTCCGAACATCCAGAACCCCATTGTGCTGACCGCTGTTGCCCGTGGTCCCTCAGCTCGCCGACGTCCGCCCTTCTGAGCCGCTACCGACTATTGCGACTGCAGATTCCCCTCCTCCATCGAAGGCTCTGCTTCGACCATTTCTATCCCCAAAGACTCGGGGGTGGTTCATCCACCAGCCTGACTCTTCGAATTCAATAATTGTGGTAGGTTTGATGGATTCTTCCCTCTACACTTGCCCTTCTATGTTTCACCATGGATCACCTTCCCGCCCTCTACCGCACACAAGCAGTGGGTTGATGCAGTCTCTGGTATAGCAGTGGAGTAATCCTTCGCATTCTGAATCACTTCAATATGCAAGCGATTCAGCATGAGGGACACTCAGGCCTGGTCGAACAGCCAGGTCTGGCAGACTCTGCTGCAATTCGAGATCCGTCGCTCAAAGGCCCAGCGCCCAAAAACATCGCCTTCGAGTTGCTCCTCGATGAGAACTCCAAGGTCCGAGCCCGCATCCCGATGCGCGTGCAGATATATCCCCATGACACTACAGACTCAATCGTCACTACGGTCAAAAATTTCTATGGTATCTACGACGGCACTCCAAGTGGGGTCAGCTTTGAAGATGAACATGGGACCACCCTGATCGCAAGGTATGAGAACCTCAAGAATAACAAGACTGTATATGTACGAGTTATTCCCATTCAACCATATGGGGATCACTTCTATAATGGCTTCTCTGCCGAACCTCGCAAGCGGCCTAGTCTGGCAGAACCTTTCCAGATGATCGATGGCATGGCGCCTATGCTGGATCAGCCATCGCGCCCAGCATCGCGCCTCGCGAGGAAGCGCAGCAATTCTCCGTCAAACCGGAGTCTGCGCAGTGCCTCTCAGCACAAGCCTTCCTCCCGCGCAGGCAACAAAAGTCGCGCTTCCAGTACTCATGGAGCTTTCCATGATGACGAAGACTACAGCGATACTGAAAGCGCTTATGCTCGTCGGGCTCGCAATGAGATCTTTGCTAGCTCGGATATCAGCATGGAGAACATACTGCAAGATGGTCGTCGGAAACGACCCAAGTTCGACAGCTCCGTAAGTAACCTCCTCGGACTGCATACCTCTTTATTTGTCACTAATATATTCTCTCTCTCTCTTAGGAACTTCCGCTTTTCGTTCCTCCTCAAGTGCCCCTCACTACCTCCACATCCTCAATCTCCCCTCAACGTCGATCGGTTGGACAGGAAGGCGCTGGGTCGCCTTTCGCTCGCCCAACACAACGCCCTTATAGCTACCAGCATGCGCTGCCATCACCGCAAAGCTATGGTCATAGTGAATACGGCGCCCATTCGGGGCGCAATTCCATGTACGCAGCCCCCGCTGCCCAAGACCAGGGGCAACGCATGCGCGACTCTTCGGGGACATATGGCAACTCGGCCAACCAAGTTAGTGGGCCTGGTGTATTGCCCACACCGGACCCCACTATTGCAAGCTGCATCTCTGATGAAGATGTGGCGATGCAATTGATACGTTTAGGCGATGCATCCAATTTCTCCCATGGTCGTACATCGGCTTCGACATTAGACGATGCCTTTAGTGGTGTCGCTGACGCCAACTCATCAACTGGTGCTACCAGTGATGGCGATGACTTCAGTGAGGATGAGGATGATCTGCCAACTCGTCGTCAAAGGCTGGACTCGAGTCCAATGCTCCCACCAGGAACGATCAAGCGCCATCTCAAAGGCCTTGATGACATCCTTCCCAGTGCTGACAGCAGCGATCATAGCTCAGATTGTGGCGATGATGGCATCAAGAGTGAAGCCGATGAGGACGTCCTTTACAGGGAATTTGCGCCGAAAGCAAAGAAGCCCAAGAGCCGACCCATGTCATTCAAGGTCCGCAGCCAGAAGTCAGCCCCAGTGAAGCTGAACAAAAGCAAGGTCTCTGCACCGATCTCTCGCAAGCCATCGGACAAATCATCTGCTCCAATTCAGCCCCTCAGCCCTGCCTCATCCCGGAAGGTCTCGGGGGGCTCGGTCAATTTCCAGCACCAGCTGGGCGCCGATGAGGAGGACTTGTCAACCAAGCCTCGCTGTCAACGATGCCGTAAGAGCAAGAAGGGTTGTGACCGTCAACGTCCCTGTGGACGCTGCAAGGATGCCGGTATTGGCATTGAAGGCTGTGTCAGCGAAGACGAGGGCAACGGTCGCAAAGGTCGCTATGGGCGTCATATGGGAGTTCCAGTGAAAAAGGACGGTGAGGATATGGATGAAAGTGAGGAATTCCCCCTCATGCCTGCCACCCCTCCTATTTCTTCATCGGCGGCAGACAAGAATAAGAAGCGGAAGCGCTAGTGACCATTTGATTGCATTCTCATTTGCGGCCTCTTCAGCGCTTCTTCACTCCATATTTTCACATTTTCTATCGCCGTGGGACCTATCATTCATCTTGCCATCCTCACATAGGGCCAGCCTAAAGTGCCCTATCTCTCTCCTTTCCACCTTCTGGCCATCGCCAGATACACTCCTTACACTATCATACTACCATACTACCATCATCCACCCCGCGTGCTCTACACTCCCTTTCCTGGTTACAAGCCATGCTCCTCCTGGCCTCCATTATACACTGTCAAGCGGTTGATCTGTTGCTCGTCTTAGGCGTCTTAGTGCTTCTGCGGGTTGTATGCTTCTTGTTACATCCACTCGCTCCTTTGGAATCAATGCTACTTACTGGGTTATTTTCTCTAAGAGTATGTGGGTTTCATGTCCAGGTGTGTGTGGTGAGTAGTCGGCACCCATGTCGTGGCAGCAATATATATCTTTTAAGTGTGGCAAAATTGTAGGCCTGGAGATTGTTTATCATTGGAGATGTCTATGCATACCATTAGGGTTATATATTCTAAGGTTTTGGTATTTTTTGGAAGAAACCCATTGGAACAGTGAAATATCTCTCTTGTCCAAACATTTCCTTTTTGGGTGGCCAGACATCGAATGAAGTGATACCTATGTATTGGAGTACAGCACGTGACCAAGGCGGTGTGAATGGCCCCGCAACTTTTTTGAAGAGCTCGACTTTGTCGAACACCGAACGCTGATACATTTCCGCGAAGAATTGGCTTTTACTTCATCAGCTGTCAGTTCAAAAGTCTACACCTGAACAAGAATCTGATTTCTCTCGCTTCGGTCCCACAGCAAATGCGCCTCTTCGAATAGGCCTCCAACTCAAACTTTTCTCCAAAACCGCACCAATCTTGCCCTCTGAGCAGCAATAAAAATGCCCCCCAAAGCCGCTCGTGGAGCGGCTTCGACCCGCGGAGCGGCCTCGACCCGTGGAGCCCGCGCTGACTCGACCACTGCCACTGGCGCAGCCGCAGGACAAAACACCCCCGCGGGAACTGACGCACCCGAACCCGCAAATCGACCATCCGTGCAACGTCTCAAGACCACGAATAAGCGCACACCGTCTGGCAGCATTGGACCGGCCAGTCGACCCCCACCTGCACTCGGCGGGGAGCCAGTCAAACCAGTTATGAAACACAGACCCAAGGCCGTTGGGCGTCGCAGCAAGCAAGAACGAGACGAAATCGAAAGACTTGAGAAAGAGCGCCATAATGAACGTCTGAAGGAAGCGGCGGCTATTCAGCGCGGTCGTGGCGGGCCTCGTCGGGCTGGATTCCGTGGCCGCGGTGGTCCTATGGCCATGAGCATGGGAGGAGCATTCGGAGGACGAGGCGGCAAGCGCGGTCGCGGTGGCTTCGGCGGAGGCGGCGGCGGTGGTGGCGGTGGATATGGTGGTGGTGCAGGCTCAGGGCGCAACCGATCTGGTGTCACCGGAGGTCATCGTGGGCGCGCATATGACTCTTCCGACGACGAGGACAATGCACTTCGCATTAGCATTGATCAAATCAACCTTGACAGCGATGAGGAAGAGTGGGACGCGCCCAAGGACCCCAAAGGAAAGCAACCCAGCAGGTCACAAACCGATCGTGCACTTCGTCCAGTCCGTCTTGAGAGGCATGAGCACGAGGAGCGCGTCATCAGTGTTAACATGGAGTCGAGCTCTGCTCGAGCTGCCGATCTCCGCAAAAAGGCAGAGAACGAGAAACAGGCCACTACGAAGGATGTTACCAAGACGCCGACAAAAGTCAAAGCGGAACCTCGAGATGATGACGCATCTATGGCTGGTAATATTCCTCAAGCAGATGATGATGGCTTTTTACCGGAACACAACGTCCGCGTGCGCTCTGTGACTATGAGCCCCACAAAAAGAGATACCACAGAGCCCCAATCATCACCAACCACGCCTGAACCCAAGCCAATCGACCCGCGCAGTCTTCTGCACACAAAGGAAGAAATTGACGAATATGACCGCCACCAGGACGACCTGTCTATCATCAAGGATCTTCTTGTCCCCAAGCCGCCCAAGACTACCACGGGAGCAGATGCTACTGAAGGTGCCACAGAGGGCGAGGCGACAACATCAGAGGGACATGATGAAAACAAACCTAGCGAAGAAGAAGAGGAAGACAATCCTCTTCTGGGTCAACTGTTCCTCATGCAGTTCCCACCCATGACCCCTAACCTCAGAGTTGCCGGCGCCCCGGCAGAGGATCAACAGCCATCCATAGAGGCGACCGCGGACACGGAACCGGCACTCAAGACTGAGCCTGAAGTCAAGCGGGAGGCAGGCGACGATGTGGAGATCGTGGAGAACACCCAACACACAGAACCACAACGGACAGATCTGATCACAGCTGGAAAACCATGGTCACTCCCAAGTGGTCGGGTCGGCAAGCTGAATGTGCACAAATCTGGTCGTGTGACTTTGGACTGGGGTGGCATTAGCATGGAGCTGGACCGCGGTGCACCCGTCGGCTTTGTCCAAGAGGCTATGATTGTCTCGCCAACTGTTGGACAGGATACCGAGGCACACAACGAGGATGGATCAGACAATAAGGCTTGGTCAATGGGCCAATTGTCTGGCAAGTTTACCCTTACGCCTAACTGGGACAAAATTCTTTAATTGCATCTTGTAGCCACATATTACGACAACGGGAAAGAACCAAGTATAGCACCCATGACAATGGCCATGTGAATACCTTTTTGATGAATGAAGATATTATCTACATTAGAACATACGAGTTCGTAAAGGGCCGTATGCTTGCAAGTTTTCCCGAGGTCTGCACCTGGGCATAAGGTAGGGCTTAATATGTTGGAAAAAATAGCACCGCATTTGACCGCTCAGCTAAAAAGGTGGACACCTAATGTAGCCTTGCTAATCAGGTGATTTATGCAATCCATGATATTTTTTCCGTGACATAATAATTGTGCCTCAGACAAGTGCCAAGACATCATGGATCTGGACTCTGCACATATGCACCTACATAGTACTTATTTCAACCACATCAGGTCAGTGCTGGCAAATGTCTCTCCGGTCTCCTCCCCAGAGGTGTGACCAAGGTACATACATACTCGTATGTCGAGACCCATATTTTGTGGATCACGAATATTTTCACAAAGTCCACAGTGGTCTACTCGTACGCAAAAGAAAACCGATAGGCACTTTCAGTTCCTCTTGCCATACCCATACGCCAGGCTACCCGTAGCGTGGCAACTACAAGTAGAGACCGCCACTAAGATGAATCATGCCCTTGATTATCGCGAGCAAAGTTCTAAGGTAGTAACCTGGAAACCTTGTCTTTTTTTCCTAGTTTCGCTGTGAGAGGGGTTTTGAAATGTGCCCCGAGACCTTGATCGTGACAGCTACAGACTTACCTTGACAAAACGAGCCAGATCCTGCTGTTGTAGTTCAAAGGAAAATTGGTTGCCAGATTCAGAAGCAATATGAGGATGAACGTAGATAGAGAACATCAAGTTGAATCCTTATTAACTAAATATTGCCCCAAGATATCGAAGGGGTCAACTCCAACGATGCAGCTTCGTCTATAACTTTAGAACCTGCGGTCCTGCGCCGCTTTCATATCACAACAATTCATGTAAATTATCCAACATCCAAGTTCCGCATTGCATCTGAGCCCCTCTCGTAACGATCTAGACCAATTGCATAGAAGACATACCGTATGACAGAATAAAGGTTTGTGCAGATCCAATCGCCAATATTCAATACCCACACTACTCTACACAAGGCCTTCAAGGTACCTTTGATATATTACTCAAGCACAATCGGTGAAGTCGTCCTTGCTGACAGGCACTAATGAAGAGCAAACAAGTCAATATATTAAATCGTATTTTGGAACTGCTTGTTGAAGATCATCAAGGTACTCTTCACGGACTTCTTGCTCATTTTGGAAACTACCTAAATGCTTCGCGTTCTTCTTGGTGAGTACCATGGTAGCTACTATTTTCTATAAGAACGCTTGCATTCCCGGTCTGAATAACTCTTCTATCATCAGTATCGACTCCCCTTTGCAACTCTCTTCTAAAAGATCCACTTTTCAACCAAACCACCCCAACCGTCAAAATGAAGGCAAGCTTCTCTGCTATTGCTCTCGCTCTCGCCGCGACTTCCACCGCTACCAAGTTCTCTGTCAGCGGTGATGGCTACATGCACCTGAACGGCAAGCAAATTTTGGCTTCCGGCGGTGCTGTCGAGTTTCAAAACCAGGGTAGCGAGTTTACAGTCAGTGACGGCTTCCTGAAGACCTCCGATGGAAAGAAGAGTAAGTAGCATAAGCCTCTTCCTTTGCCTAGAAAAATACTTACACACCTCAGTCTACGTCGGCAACAGAGGCGACATTCTTTATGGTTCCCAGAGTGGCGACTCGGGCTTCTCCATCGAGAGTGGCAAGCTGACCTGGTCCCACGGCAGCTTCTACGCCTGTCCTTTGGATGAGCTCTTCCAGATGATCAAGCTTGGCGCCGTCCGCAAAGATGGTCAAACCCCTGGTGATGACTGCTCCCCCATTGTCCTCACTCAAGTCTAAGTAAGTACCACATTATTACCTTTTAACTGTTGCTGGAGCTATAGTGCTGACTTGCGAGAAGGAATGCATTACTCTCATAGACTTGCAACATTCGAGGGGAAGCTTTATCGCTGATTTTTTGGAATTACCATGAGTACTATATGTAACTACGCTACATTGTAGCCTAGACTGGGAATCTTCCTCGGCTTTGGCCGCTCAAGCAATTGTACCTCTATTGTCTATATAACAGTGCGATGTGCTCAAGTAATCATGTAGTTCCCACATGACTGGGATATACCTTCCAAAACCGCATCTTACTACTTGAATACCGAATTTAACTGAAAATAACGAGCTTTGGCATACACAAGTTCTGTGACCATCTTTCTCATATTCACTCCATCTAGACGGGGCTTCATCACTTGGTTGATCTGTCTGGGTAGGCAATTTGCACAATCTTTGGGAAAAAAGTGAAAAAGAGAGAGGAAAATAGCTCCAGCCTACGTATCCTGGGAGGTCATCGGAGCTCCTATCAGAGCAGTTTGGGGGGGGGGGGGGGGTATAATATATAGGGAGCTTAGGGTTATGATCAATGATGAGAACTAGTAGTATGAAGTTCTGAGATCAGGTGACCTCTCCGTAATTGATTATTCATCGGGGCGTGCTCAATTTTACTCTGGGAGCAAAAAGCGGCAAGAGGTGAGCACTAAAATGGAAAGGGAAAAGTATCGAGCGCCAGGTATTTTCCGGTACATATGTTCGCGTTGACTATACAGTTTCCAATACAGCACCAGAAACCCAAGCATTTTCGTCGCGGCTAGAAGAACGCCTAACAAGCGTTCAATCACTTCAGACGCCCATCCAAATCCATTTATAATGCCTTCATAGGCTAAGCCGAGTGTCTCCAACGAGACACGAACCCGTCACGATGTCGTTGCGTCCCCTTGGATGCAATTCTAGCTTATCCTTCGCGCAAGTCTTTCGAAAATGTGCGATTTTACCACCCGTCCGACCCTCCCCCTGTCCACGCGACACCCATATCAGACTTCAACGGCCGCGAAGAACTCTGCATCTTGCGGACCCAACATCATTGTTGCAAAGGACTCTGTTCGGAACTCTGCCCCAAGCTGCGCATACCCCGCAAAGCCGAAACAAGCACGTGTCCGCTAAACAGTGCCGACATGAATCCTCTGCAGCTCAAGCAGTTCCAGAACTAGAGCCTTGCGCGCATTGTGGCGGAAGGACGTATCCCAAGATTCGAAAGCCCGTCGACCCGGAAGACCCCTCCAGAGGCTGGCACTGCAAACCATGTCTCCGAACTCTGCGTGTCCACGGCCATCTCCCAAACGAGGAACAACTAGTGGAAATCAACCGGCGGCGAAGAGTTCGGGAGAGCGGGGAGGCAAGCAAAACAAGTCCGTGTAAGCATTGCGGCGATATCACAGCCCCAAAAAGCAGTCGCAAATTTGTCGATCCTGATGATCCCCATGCGGGTTTTCACTGTCGGCCATGTGTACGGCATATGCACCACCATGGAGCCCTGCCCTCTGAGATTGAACTGGTTGGGAGGAGATCTCGGAAGAATGCTCTTACTAAGGGCGAAAAAGCAAAGCCTAAGTTGAAACCTGCGCAAGAGCTGAAAAAGGAAGAACCTCCAGCTCTTGACCCAGAAGCTCCTAAGCGAGCTAAGCAGAGCCGTGATCCGCACCCTTGCCGCCACTGCGGCGACCAGACCTATTCTAGCAGCAAGCGGAGGCTCGTTGAGATTCAGAATCCGTCCGCGGGGTATTATTGCCAACCGTGCTCTAGGTGTCTCATTGAGACCGATACCTTGCCCTCTGCCGCTCAAATAGAGGCGCTCCGAGATCTCCGGGCGAGACGAAGCGTTATCTCTCCCGCATCAGTGCGAGGTATGAAAAGTCCTTGCTGTCACTGCGGCGATATTACCTCCCCGGGCAGCAAGCGCAAACTCGTTGAGCCCAAGAACCCTGATTCCCGTTACTACTGTCGCTCTTGTGCCGAATGTCTGCAGGAAACGAATGCCCTGCCTGACGAAATGCGTCTCGCTACTCGCAAGTCTCGCGAAAGGGCTAGATTGAGCAACCTCACAAAAAGTAGTTCTACCCAGGGGAGCTCATCTCCTGCAGGTGGTGAGGCCAAGACCTGTGCGCACTGCAAGATCGATGGAAGCATTACCCAGTTGAACCACTTCCCACCTGCGAAAGGGGATGTTTGCTCATCGTGTGCTAATCATTTTAATCTTAACGGTTCCTTTCCTAATTCGGATGCGCTTCTTCGGCGGGACAGTAACAGAAAAGCGCGGGTGCGTATCCAAGCCGATATTGAAGCTGGTCGACCGCTGTTCTGCTACCATTGCAAGACCCCTCGACCTCAGTTCCCGACTAGACATTGGAAGATCGGAGGACGGTTCCATGATTTGGTGTGTCCCAAGTGTCAGTCGCAAGGGTTTTAAGATTCTCTGTATCGATTGAAGGGGGTCTACTTGTATATAACTAAATCTTTTGATAACTATAACTACAACTTGACATACGACTTCAGGAGTAACTATAACATGGATTTATAGTCAACCACGGGGGACCGAGACCCCCGCCAAGAACCGTTATCCCAGCGACCAATCAGAGGCCGCAGAGTCAAGGGTGAACCAGCCCGTCCACGGCTGGTCCCTGAGAGTCCAAAGGGCGGCTCGGCCAATCATGCCCGCGCCCTGACTTGCTTGCTTCACCTTGATTTTCACCTTAATCTCCCTGCCCCCTGGGTGTTTTAATTCTCTGCTTTCTCTTTCTCTCTCTCTTTGCGTTTGTGCGTTTGGACCTGACAGTTGCGACAATCTTTGGTGTTTGTGGCTCTGAACCCGTTTCGCCCCTTTTCATCCCGGTTGCCTGATTGCGACAACCCGCTCGAAAGTGGCATGTTTGGAGACTCGAGCACGGAGCTATAACTTGAATCGGTCGCTGCGTGGCAACCCACCCATTCGATCATCTATACCTCATATCTCCAGCACTGTTGCCTCGCCAACTCGAAGGACCCCATCCCCACGACCCGCACCCGCACCAACTAGCTTGGCGTTGCTTGTCTGCGCAGGCAACAACACAAGCCTTTGTGCGCATACCAGTCCATTGCACAATATACATATCACCTTCATACCCTCAGCATGAAACCAGCAACACTTCTGGCCCTTCTGGCCCCAGCCGTGGTCCTCGCCGAATCACACGCAACTGGCGTCTCCTCTGATTTCGCACACAACTCCCCCGCCGTGTCAATACCTGAGCTCGCTCTCCGTGAACATTTCGTTCCGGCGCTGGATCGTACCCCTCTACCAGATGATATGCCTTTGCTAGCTGCGAGGCATATCCTCCAGGCGCGCAGTGAGGGTTCACTCGGCCAAACCCCATGGATTGGCATGGGTATTGGCCTAACCTTTACTGCCCTGGCGGCTGTGATGCTGGGGTGAAACTTGGCTCTTCGAGTCTTTGATTTCGACCATACCTTCTTCCGACTTTTACATATCTACCTCTTCTGATGCTACACGTGAAACGCCGGGCACAGCCCGAACCCCCATTCGACTTCTGAGCCACACAACATGCGGTGACTTACTTCATCTTCATCTTCATATTCTTACGGTCTTTTGCAGCGGATTTTTGAACCTTTTTGTTGTTTACTTGCATCCATAGCCTCGCGTTTGACGTGGGATTGGACTTTTTGAGCCCCCCCTTTTTTTTACTTCCTTCATTGCATCACCCGACTTGCCCACCCCTGTCACTTTTTGTTTAAATACACTCGTGGTACTGTCGGGGGTATAGAATTACATGTTATGCGCATGTTGTACATGATACCTGTTTTGTCTCTGATGCAAATGATCCTATGTGTACGGAGTACATGGGATAACTTACTTAATTAGTGTTTATAGATACAGCCAATACGATTTGACTATACAATCATCCTCTTTGGGGTTTTTTTTCTCGTGTCAGGCCTCGGCTTTCTGTACCCTGCTTTCTGATAGGGGTTTAGGGCTTGAATACGACTTTCTTTGTTCGATGCTCGGCCTCTGGAGTCAGCTGGGCCTACGGGGTATTTTGCTTGCATTTGGAGAATCAGACAGAACCTCTCTTTATTCTAGCTCTTTCGCCAGTCCGAAGACCACAGAATACATTTTGAGTCCGCATCGCAGGATCCAAACAGCCAAGCTACGACCAGGCTTAACACACTTCTCTGCACTCCAGTGGTCACACCTATGCTGTTTAACACATAGTATTATCAAATAAAAGAGGAGAATAAATAACTCAAACTCTCTTGGATTTGAATTTGGAAGACAAGTTTATCAGGATGCCCACCATGCCCGACGAATTCCCGCCTTATGTCCCGATGCCCTCACTCGGCCACGAGCTTGGCCTTATGTTCGGCTTCTTCAGCCTCTGTCTAGCAGTCATGGCAGCCTACGTTGTCGTCTGGCGAAGTGAGTCTTCCATCCAGCTTCGACATCTTTCCCCTATCAATTCCACCATCTTTCTCTACGATCACCCGCGATCATTTGATCGAGGCTTGATCACAAACAAAACAACAGAGCCTTACATCAAATCTTCATAAATTTTAGTTCTACGATATGAGATCTGAATTAACAAGCTACAGTCTCCCAAAGCCGTTTCCGCGCCCAAGACCTTGCCCGGCGCAAAGCAATCCGCAACAACCGCCGGGTATCTCGAGATCCACAATTGGGAACGTCATCGATAATGGGGAAAAGAAACCCAAATCCCGCTGGGAATGAGACTCCTGAGAAAATGTCCAATTGCTACACCATCCCCGAAGACCTGGTGGAGCTCCCCATTCATGGGATGGAGTTGCTCAGAAGTGAAAAGGTCCCTGGAACAATGATGGGGCCGCTTTCATCTAATGCAGTGAGACCTTTGAGTCCACTGGGCTCCAGGGGCGTGATAGAGTCCGGGTCTGCAGCTGGGGTGGGAATTGGGCATTCGCCCAGGGATCTTGTTAGTCCCGTTGGTGGGGATGAAGTGGAGTCAATTATTGGTCTTGCGCCGTCGCTCCCGCAAGGTCGAAGTCAGAGCCCTCTCCCTGTGCGTGAGATTTATCGGTCTGTGAGTCCGGCGAGAAGAGCTGGTGGGCAGAGTGGTGTTGTTGAGATTGGGCCAACCCTGGAGGGTCGAGTCAGGTAGTAATGAGATGACTTGTATTGCGTTAGCATGCAGGCAGATTTTCATATTGAGCTTTTGGATTGCGACAAGGTAAATTAACTATTATTTATGGTATTATATTGGCCCTCTTGTTTCCTTGACTCGCCATTATGACCACATGAGAGTATTAGTACAGTCTCGTTGAGAGAGAGAGAGACGGGAGGGAGGGAGGCTACGCTAGCAGGGCTGGATGATGAAGATGCTAGACGGAGCTTCTCGGGTTGTGAGAAGAAGAGAAGAGCATGAGGGAGAGGATGAGGGTAGATATAAGACTATCTCATGTAACACGGAGGTTACATGACCTAATTGAGCCAAGAGCTCAATGCGATCAAAGAGAGTAGTCAAACACCATTTAACCGCCCCTCGACCTTCTCACTCACACACAGCGTCGGCGAATCCACGTGTCCATAATAACGAACCCATGATAACAATGAGGAATCCCAGAGCAACAACGACACTCGTAAGACCATACACATATGCATGGCGACGACGCTTCAAACCATTCAGTTCAGAAACCCAAGTACTTATCGTAGTTGCGCTCCCACAAAACCCATCCATAACCCCCTGCAACACCTGGCAGCCCGTCAAAGCAGTAGGAACCACAGCCCCAAGACCACTGACATGCTGCAGATCATAGCAAACGCCCTCGATAATCGTGCCAAAGACATTCATAGCAAAAGTGCCCATCGGGAACTCAGGGACACGACTGTTGAGGGAGAGCGAAACGTAGAACCGAAGCAAACACCCCAGGGGCGCAAAAACTAACGCGAATACCGCCCGCCCACGCCAGACATCTAGCCCATCATGTCGATCTGGCGGCCAGATGGCAAGGAATACGGCGCCGAGCCAGCATCCCCACGCCAGCACGACGATGATACGATCGCCAACCCGTCGCATGAACGCGAAAGGCACGGCAGGGGTATACCGCGACAGCGCGAGAGCCAGATGGGCACCGAAGATCAGCGCCGACAGACTTAGTGACACTGTCATCAGGATGACCGCGATGAGCGCCATAAAGCTGTAGCCGCCATTGCGGGATGCAATGGCAGCACCAGATGGCAGCGAAGGGTCCGGGAGGGCGTTGGCGAGGGCAAGAAAGACATCGCGAATGAAGGATGAGAAGGATGTACAGCAGCCGCAGAATCCGGTTGTTAGACCAATATATAGTGGGATGGTCTTTTTGACTGCTTTGTGATTCTGCGTGGCGGTGTCTGCATCCGCTTCGGTCTTGGGCTCGCCCCACTCCTCACGGAAGAGGTTCTTGTCTTCGCTCAGGAACCCCATTACCAGGCTCCCACAGACATTTGCCCATAGCACCCCTGTTACTACAGGGGCACCCGTGTAATATGTCAGGGCTTGGAGGCCTAGGCGAGCGAGGGTGCCAAGCAAAGAGAAGAAGATCAAGTAGGAGACGGTGTAGAGATGTGTTGCGTGTTTCGAGAGGGGTGCAGCTGCAGGTTTTGACTCATTGGGCCATGACTTGCGAACCAAAGATTCTTGAACAGGCTGTGGAGCCGCAGTTTCAGTGAGAGGATAGTCACTGTTCATTGCCAACGGAAACAGGCATAGGAAGAGAAGAGACGCGAAAAGAAAAATGCCAAGAAACGGAGACCGAGTGGATCATGTGGAGACCCCGATAAGACTCTATGAGGGGAAGATAAGAAGCTGTCTCTCTCTCCTCTTCCAAGGTTCTAGTACTCTCCCTTCTGCTGCTCTGTCTTTTGATCTCTCTTTATTTTCCTCTCTCTCTCTCTATCCTCTCTAGCTCATCATGACTCTTCCGGCAAATGTTCATATCTCTTCTCACCCTTGTCTCCAAGCCAAGCTCTCTTTAATCCGCTCATCCTCCACTACTCCCCGCGAGACGCGAGGCCTAGTCCATGATATTGCCAACATCCTAGGTGTCGAGGCCTTTTCCGGGCTCAAGCTAGCTAAGACTGGAACTGTATGATCTCAAAGCGGACTTGTTGTGCCACTCTAATCTTTCTAGGACACCACCCCTCTCGGAGTCGAATATGAAACGCAGGGCATTGATCCAGCAGACCTGGCTCTAGTACCCATCCTCCGCTCCGGCTTGGGCATGGTCGATGGTGAGTTAAGTATTTCATATAATAACAATCCACATCAAATTGTTCTCATGTACTCCATACTTGTTGTCACTCCAACCACATTCCCATACATTGCCCAACCCTTTGGAACCCAACCCCCGCTTATTTACCACCCCCAGCTCTGAACGACCTTCTCCCCACCCCTGTCCCAGTTTACCACTTGGGCCTCTTTCGCGAAAAAGTCTCCCTCCGACCAGTAGAATACTACAACAATCTCCCCTTCCACCGGTCGGAGTTGTCGCCGGCATCCCCCGCATCTCTGAACCCAACCACCAACACCGCAGCCGCCACACTGGCTGTCCTGCTAGACCCTGTTATTGCAACCGGTGCAACAGCCGAGGCCGCAATCCAGTTGCTCCGTGATTGGGGCGTTAAGAAGGTCATCATGCTTAGTGTGCTTGCTTCGGAGGAGGGCATTCAGCGTGCTGCGGGCACTTGGGATCAGGTTGAGGTTTATGTGGGTGGTATTGATAAGGCTGTTAATGAGAAGGGTATGATTGTGCCTGGACTTGGGGATATTGGTGACCGACTGTTTGTCGCTGTTGGCAAGTAGGCTGTCTCCGACTGGCTTTTTTTTTTAGGCCTCAGTAATAGATACATACAATAAAGATCATCTTTGCATCGAAAGTCATGACTCTTTTGGAGTTTGAAAAAAGTATGCAAGGAGACTGAAGGGTCTTGACCATGACTGTCAGTGATGGCTTCTTCAACCTTAATGCTGGGAGAGAAAGTACTCTCAAGGTTCTGACGATTCATGGGCCCCAAGCAAAACAGAGGCCCGGACTGGGAGCAGACTCCACCATGTTCAAGGCGAAGCAACTTTCACCTTTTCAGACTAAGAATAACCTCGGAATAGTTGTGATGTTACGAGTAGAGGTAATGAGGTCAAATCCCCGCCAGATTATTCATTGATTACGTATAGTACATAAAACAGGCATAAAAACATGTGCAAGTGAAAACAACTGCAAGGGAAAGCAATGCTGAGCGTGAAAAAAGCATGGAGAAAGAAGGCAGCAAGACGGGGAAAGCGTGCAGGCAATGAACATCAAATACAATAGGCTGAGAAAGTCCCAGCCCAAGAAGCAAAGTCAAATAGACAAATGAGATGAAAGCAAGAACGCGAGACGAACGCAGGAAAGCCAAAAGGTATCGAGTGCACAAAATCAGATGGACGGGGGGGCACAATTAGGTGTTAAAATGAACCATAAAGTCAAACTCCACGGAGTGCGAAAGAACACACAGGACCAGCCAGGTGTCGAAGACGGAAAGCAGAAACACCACACTGGACTCCCTGGTGTAAGAAAATCAGGGAAGATGCAAGCAGAAAGGATAAAAAGGCGAAGAAAGAAGAAGCCCATAGGCCAGGAACCACCGGGAGGGATATCGAAAGGCGAAGTATTGCAGAAAAGCCCAAACACCCCGCCCTGCCCACTGGCAGGTCCAGTCCGGATTCCCAAATGTCCCAATAAAACCGTCCAGAAATGAGAGTAAGAAACCGAAAAGAATCAACAGTCGAAATGCAGGAAGCAAAAACAAGGCATAAAAACTCAAGGAGAATGACTCAAGGAGATTTAGTAAGCTGTGCCGACGCTAGCAAGCGACTTGGTGGGCACTGCGTGAATAGGCTGATCCTTGCCAACACGGAGAGAATCCTCGTAGCCGACAAGAGCCTGAGAGTGGAGCTTGAAAGATTCGCCCATCAGCTTGGTAATTCTATAGAACGGTTAGTTATCGATTCATGTGGAAAGAAGGGAGATAAACATACCCCCAGACAACCACGCCGTCTAGGATGTTACCCCATACACGGGCGACGGTGGAGCTGAGTTTGCCGAAAGCATCAATGGCATCATCGTCAAACAGGTTGCGGACCTTGTTGTAAAGACCCAGCTCAGCTTCAGTGGCAGGTTCGTCGTCATGTTCCAGACGGTAAAGCCACAAACTGAGGATGACCATGAGGTCCAGGCCGCACAACGGGTGCTCGACACTCCAGTTGGTGGCGGAGGTCTTCGCAACCCAGTTGATGCCCTGGATGGCAGCAATCTCAATGCATTCGAAACATTGCTGGATTACCTTGTTCATCTCCTGCGAGCGCTTGACCTTCTCACGAGCAACAGTCATGGCAGCAGCCACCTCATAGGAGGAGTGGTACCGCATGGCCTCTTGGATGGATTTGAGGTCAACTTCCAAGCGAGCACGAGTGTTGCGGTACATTGCCATCGAGTTAAAGATCAAGGGGTGACCCTTTTGAGGAGTACTGAGCGGGACAACAATTGTCTCAGGCTCGCAAACCTCAAGTGAGGTCTCCCAAGTTTCGAGAGCCAAGCGCAACTTATACTCGGTGACCACATCCTGGAGTGCTTCGAAGCTACGCTTGTGGTTCCAGACCTGCAAGAACAAGGCGTTGATGAGAACTCGAGTGGCGAAAGCGCTGTAGCGGGTCTGTTCACCCTGGAACAGGAAGTCATGGGCCTCGCGGACAGTGAGTGCACTCGATACCATGCTGCGGCGCCAAGTGTCTTCGTCAGCGGCATCGAGGTTCCACAGAGACTCGGAAGACGGAAGCTCTAAGTCGTCAAACTCGTCAAAGCTCATGGCAGGAGTGTGGTTGAAAGTGAGTGTCAACATGCCGAAGAAAATGTACACAGCGAAATATGTGCGGCGGCAAGATTCATCTTCAATCCATTCTTCGCGAGTGGGCTGGGTGTTTTGGCGACCCTGAACGCGCACCTTCATCTGGTAGCGGTTGCCGGCGACCATGTTGGCCAAAAGACTCTTGATTGAGCAGGTCCATTCGAGACCTTTGGGGTCACCACTCCAGCTTTCAAAGACCATGTTCAGCAAAGTAGCTTGCATCAACCAAAGGGGGCATCGACGAGAGTCGAAGTTGTCCTTTTGTTGCAAAAATTGGTTGACCAAAACCTTGGAACCGACGTGGAGCATGAAAGCGTGCTCGCGCTCGAAAGTGTAAAGCGCACCGATGGACAACACTGCGAGCAACAAAGGTGCCGAGACTTGCGAGGGTCTGAAAGATTCCTGGTGAAGGAAAGGCAGGTGAGGATGGTACAGGTTGAAGTAAGTAGACAAGTACCGGTTCAGGGCAATAGTGGGGGGAAGCTGGAAAGTATCAGGGAGCGCACCAAGGCTGTCTGATGCCTGCACACGATCCATCACGTAGTTCCGTTCCATTTCATTGGCGATCTGAGGCGCCTTGGGAAGGGTCAGTGCCTGACTGGGGCCAGGTGAGCGACGGTAATTCACAGGGCTAACTGGACCAGTCATCGAAGGGTACGGCGACAGGGCATTGGGGGTGGAGTGCCCGGACATCGGGAGCGAGTTGGACATCAAAATGTCCCCGACGGGACCATGGCGGTCGACGAGGGTAGGCATCGAGCCGGGTTCGGATACCAAGGTGTCCCAAGGCATTTGGGGCAAGGTGGCGTTCCCGGAGAGGTAGGGCTCGAAGGAACCGCGTCCTGGCGAAAGCGACTCGGAACGTTCGGAAACCTGGCCGGTCGCCGCTGCTGCAGCCTTATGTTGGAAATCTGTCATCAACATGGCTGCAGTTTCAAGGTCGACCATACCGTCGCTGCTTGCCTCGATCTGCTCCAGGGTCGTCGGGTCAATGGTGACCGACGGCTTAGCTGGGGCAGATGAGTTTTTCTGAACCCCTCCACCACGTCTACGGCCCTCTGCGACGAGGGGAATACCGCCATCCTTGGCATGAACGGTTCGGTCATGGCGCAGAAGAAGGTCACGACGGACAAAGGTACTGCGACATTTTAAGCACTTGAAGGGTCTCTCTTTCGTGTCTATAACTGAGTCAGCGGGGGAGGGACGAAACGCGAAGAAAGTAACCAAGACTAAGTGGGGGCTTACGGGAGCGTTCATGACGACTGCGATGTTCACTTCTGCTGAATGCGCGATTGCAAAATTGGCACTTGTATTTCTTCTCGGGGGCCGATGCCTTCTTAGCCGGCGAGTTGCTGGCTGTCCCTGGGGCGGAAGGAGCCATGTGTGCGGTTGGGATTTATAGAAAGAACGAGGTCGGTGGTATCGTCCCCTGTGTGATTTCGCACCGGTTCTGTAGGCGTGTCGACGACAGGAGTTCGGTGGGGAGTCTGATCATTCCTCGGGGATAGCAATGGGATATCGAGGTAAAGTGGTTGTCCAGCCACAAATTAAAAGCAAACGCTGTGAAGGGGAATGGAGAGAAAAAAGAGAGAGATAGGTCGCGATCAGAGGTGGGAAAAAGAAGAGGGGAAGGGGAGGGGAAAGAGGAGGAGAAATAAGAAGGAATTTAGGAATTTCGAAATCGGGTTTTTGGGGGGAGGGGGCAATGGGAAGGGAGGGGGAAAAAGGACGTGGGCCTAAGCTCATCGCTTACTACGCGTGAGGCGCGCAGCGAGACCAGCGTTACAGAAAGCGGGACTTGGGAAAATCAAAAATGGGAAAAAAAGAGGGAAAAAAAAGGCTCAGCAACACCCCAGGAGGGGCCACCAGCCACCACAGCTTACGGCCACGCACTGTTCGTTCCTGTACACTTCTCTCCTTTCTTTCTTTACCATACCAAATCGACACGTCGTAATTATTCTAATTTCGAAGCCCTAGAGATTTGGCCCGATCGCAGCCCACATGGTTTGCAGTTCAGCTCCCCTTGATTATTAGATAATTAGCTAAATTAGATAAATAATCTAGCCCTGGAGTTGTACATCGTCGATCAGTGTCCACATCGCAAAGTGACCTGCGAGGGTGCTCGCTTGACGTTATTTACTTGCCCCTCGCTGGGGTCAATGGAGGGGAAGTCCTTTGTTTATTGAGGCATGTGAGGCTATATTCCCCTTTATTGTCCGTCTTCTCAAATGCCTCTGTGAATTTCCCCCTACATAGGATGAATCCCGAGATTATACTCAGGTACGATGTACTCCGACCTGACTATGATGTGGACAATGCAGGCTAGTCTGAATCCAGGTCGAGACTCATCCTGTACTCGTACTCCGTAGATATAGCTGATTCTACTTGTATGGTGTTACGGAGTATGGAGTAGTCAAGAATCATCGGTGTCACATCAAGTTCATTGATAGATCTCAACCATGGTTCACACCCGTCTACCCCTCCAAACCCCTCCGATCGAGTCGGGTGTCACCTACGTACTTCGTACTTACATATGTACACTTTTGATTCTACGGGAATGAGACACCCCCTGTCTCATTTCCTTATTTCATTTGCGCCAAGATTCTGTGCTGTATCACTTTATTCATTATTCTTTATCCTTTATACTTCTAGATCTGTCGTTTTCAAGGTTATTTTCATTTGTCAGTGGTCTGTAAAGCTGGAATTGGCCTCTCTGGACAGATCATCCCGTACTTTTGTCGCCTCACTAAATTGACTGGTCCAGATTGCGTCTCACCTGGTCGCAATAGCAGTGCCTTTGGGCCTATAGCAATCACTTCCTTGTGGCTGTTCACCTCAGTGTTGTTTGTGCCACGCTGGAGATTACGTTGTATGGGTACCATCATGCCATGTACGATAACCTCATGCATAATACATGGATGG